CAATCAGAAGGAGCTTTTAGTGTCTTCCTATTTGTTTTTTGACTCCTGGGACAACAAAAAATATCTGATCAGCGTGACGTAAACTGTAAGAGGATTAATAAATAAATAAATAAATGAATAAATAAAAATCATTTAAGACTGAAAAATCCTGCAGCGTGTGGCGGCCTTTAGTCAGCTCTTTCAGGTCAGATTGTGTTAAAATAAAGCTCAGATCAATTCTAACTTGAGCAACAGAGCGTCAGACAGAGCAGTGCCCTCAGTTAGCTTCACACCCCGAGAGAATCTATCAATAATTTAATAGAGATTTGTATGTGTTAAGTGCAAACAGTTCCCACAGCCACATCCACCCACTGCTGTTGTTTGTTTATGCACAAAGGAGGTGAAAAGAGATGTATTGTGAGCAGAAAGCACCCAAAGGCCCTGCGTCTGTCCTCACCCTGAGTGTGTTGGGAGCACCCACACATCAGAGAAAAGAAACTGAAAACACAGAGGTGTGAACACAGCCAGCTTCACCGCAGAGGTGTTTGATCTGCTGTGAGAGCTGATCTGATTGTTTTCCACTTTCACCTCACGAGGAGAATTCATTTTAAAATCTTATTACAGCCTGAAAGTGTATTTAAAGGTGCACTGTGTAACTTTTTGGTTGAGGGACCGTCACTTTCTTGCTTCTATGTTTACGTTATTACGGAAGCCGAGAGGGGTCACAACAAACGCAAACGGCGCAACAAATACAAATGCGACAACACAACAAAAAGCCACAACACAACAACAAAAAGCCACAACGGAAGTGACCGCGGGACTCTATTTTCCGAGTGAAGAAGAACTACAACGTGAAACGAATAATGCAACTTCTCCGTTCCTTTACTTTTCACGTTGTAGTTCTTCTTCTTCCTCGCGGTCACTTCTGTTGTGGCTTTTTGATGTGTTGTGGCTTTTTAATATGTTGTGGCTTTTACATTTGTGTTGTGGCGTTTGTATTTGTTGCATTAAAATTGGAGTCCCGCGGTCATTTCCGTTGTGGCTTTTTTTGGTGTGTTGTTGCTTTTTGTTGTGTTGTCGCATTCGTATTTGTTGTGGTGTTTGCATTTGTTGTGACCCCTCTCGGCTTCCGTATGTCATTGCTCTGCTTGGAATATTCCACAGTGTGACATTAAACAGCTCTGTACATTGATTCAGTTACAGGTGTGTTTATAGCTCAAAAATACCGAGAAAAACAGGTATTCTGACTATGAGTGGGGTCACCTCTCCACAGATCTGACCCGTAACTTGGTCTGGTTTTGTCTCTGTGAAGATAGAAAGTTGGAAGGAAAACATTTGACTGACCCTCCACTAGAAAAGTTACACAATGCACCTTTAAAGTGGTCTTATTTGAAATTTATAGTTTCTTAGATTGGAACATTGCAGTTCATTTTTGGACTGTACTGACAAAAAAAGTATTTGGGGAAACTACTACTCACGTAAGACAGTATTTAAGCTCCTATATTACGCAAAATTGACTCTAGCGAGCTTTAAGTCATGTTATAATGTTGTTACCTCCTCAAAAATATATCTGGAGTTGTGTTTTGTTTCATTCACACACATTTGAGTAACTCTTTATTATTAGTCTGTCTACATCTCCAAAGCTCAAAATGCTCTGTTCCACCTTGTGATGTCATGAAGCGGTAATTTAATGACATCACAAGAAAAATAAATGTAGTGAAATAAAAATAAAATATATATATTTGAAGTACAGATATAAAAAAAATTACTTTTGTGTATTTTTACTTGGTACACTGGTTAAGCATATGGGGTGTCAGTGGCAAAAAACTGTCGTTGTGTCCTTAGGCAAGACACTTCACCCACATTGCCTAGTTTGAAAGTGGTTTGAGTGTGAGTGATGGTGGTGGTCGGAGGGGACCGATGGCGCAGATTGGCAGCCTCGCTTCCGTCAGTCTGCCCCAGGGCAGCTGTGTCTACAGTAGTAGTTTACCACCACTGAGTGTGGAGTGACTGAATAATGAACTGTAAAGCACTTTGGGTATCTTGAAAGGCGCTATACAAATGCAATCAATCAATCAATCATGTAGAGGTTTTGCACCAAGAGGAACTTTAAAATCTCCAGGTGCTCAATGCTCGTGTCCATGTTTGGACAACTTCCATAAACACAGAGCACGCTCGCTGCGGTTGACGTCATCGTGTCTCCAGTGCACATGCGGGACACTTTCGAGCCGTTTACTGTTCACACTGGAAATCAAATACAAGTTACATTTAATTGGAAATGTGAACGACCTCGCAAAAACATTGGATTTCACAAAAAAAATTGGAATTAAGCATTAAGCCCTGCAGTCTGAACGTAGCCTAAGCTTCTGTATGTGTACATTAAAAATAAGACATTTTCTGAGAGAAGCTGCATAAATGCTTGTCCAGAGGGACATGAGCAACACCACAGACATTCAAGTGCTGATGCCATCGTCTGCTTAACAACTCAACGCAACTTTTTCCTGTAGTCATAATCCAGTGAGTGTTAGCTCGTACCAACCGCTAATGCTAAATGTGTGTTAGCTCTGTAAGCAAAACTTATCTGCAAGAGTCAATGTTTAGCTCTGGGAGGATCATAACCCCGAATTCACACCAGGAGCTGCGGCAGCGCTTAACGTAGGCGGAGCTGCGCGTACGCGTCAATTTCAGTTTCAATTCACACCAGAGTCAGAGACGCATCCTGCACATCTTCTCACTGTTTTCAGACATCACATTTTGTACTTGCTTTTTATCATTTATTTTATGTTAAAGTGTATTAAGTTAGAATGCGTATTAAGTGTATTATGAATTAAGTGTACAACTGCAACGTATTTGCGTTTAATGAGGTTTAAATCTATTAGCACGCACATTAAACACCTCAGTTTTTTCCCCCTTAATAAGGTAAAATCACGTATAATTAACATACATTATGAGTGTGATTAAAATCTTCTGTCCGTCCAGGTAATAAGGCCGATACGTGTATATGTTGATACAGAGTCCTGCACCGATGGTTAAGGGAAAATAGTCGCTGAAACGGGCGACTTTTAACGTTCTGGAATTTTAAGGGCGGGTCAGGACTAATTTCAGGTCTAAACCAGGTCTAATCTTGGAGAGAGAGAGAGAGAGCGAACCCTGAGCCCCGCGAAGCAGGTGTCCGAAAAGCGCGACTGCACGTACTTCTTCTCCAAGCTCTGCACCGGTCCTTTCGCCCGCGGACACTCGGGGCTACACGGAAGGACCCCGAGCACATTTCGACAGTGAGTCCTGGTTTAGTCCTGGTTTAGTCCTGGTTTAGTCCTGGTTTAGTTCTGGTTTAGTCCTGGGTTAGTCCTGAGTCCTTGTAGAATTGGTGTCTGACATCGCAAATCACGTGCGCGTTGTTTACATCGCTGTCTTGACTTTGGTTAAATTATTTTGAAAGGGTATCGGAAGTTTATTTTGACACCGCGTGTTTATTTCCTGTCTTTCCCCTGCTAAAAACTTTGGAGACGCGCCGTTGACGCTGCAAAATTAGAACTCCAACCTCTGGAGCAGCGCGTCAGCGTCAGACGCTCGTTGGACGCGCGTATGACGCTGTCGGTGTCACTGTCAGACCGGTTAAAATGGAGTTCTAAAGCAGCGCGTCTGCTGCTCGTGCGCTGTGTTGCTGCGCTTACGCGCCGTTGCGCGTTGGTGTGAATTGGGGGTCAGATTTAAAACCTCATCAAATCTATCTTATTTTACTCTAAAATGCGCTGACAAAACGTTGTATATTTTTAATAAATGTAAATGATCTTTCCTCTTGTCTCAAAAACTATGTCTTGATTTACTTGTACTCGTACAAGCGTGCGGATCAGGACGCGCAGGAGTGTGGCTTCCCTAGAGACAAGTGTTGTGGTTAGAATCTGTTATAAATTCCAAAATCCTACATAGAGCCTCTTTAAAACCAAAATGACAAGGGTCACTGCACGCTGTGGTGGTTCTTGTGTCCGTGGCAGGTTGGAGGTTTCCCCTGATTTTCATTTTCTTAGTTTTGGGTTTATTGGGTTTATTTTGAAAAATGAGTGAATGATAACAGATGTAGGTTAACAGTGTGCAGCTTTTACAATATATTTTAGGAAAGAAAAATCAAATTTACTTCAAAACGCAATATTCATTTAAAACGACTTGAAAATAAGTGATTAAAGATTGCTCAAACATGCACAAATCTCTCCACAAACAACAATATAAAAGTGCTGAGAAGTCGATTTTGCATAATAGGTCTGCACAAATACAAAATCTTCTGTGTTTTAGTCTGAAGTGTCTTGACTGCTTTCCCTGGAGTTTGGATCTACAAACATCTTCTGAAATTCCAGATCATATTTCTTTGAACAGAATGTTATTATTAAAACATAAACCACAAATCGTAATGCTCGTTAGGAATTGGACTGTGCAAAAATATGGAAATATCAGTATATCGTATCGTTTAAAGTGAATACGATATCGTGGGCTGTTGTATCGATATAGCGCTTTTATATAGACTGTGGTTCACTCTCAACTGCACATGCTGGGTTAACTAAACTAAATCAGGACTAAACCAGGACTAAGTCAGGACTAAACCAGGACTCTCAGTTGTCCCCAAGTTTCTCGTTCACTCCAAACTTTCTATCTGCTGCTCGATTACCACTTTCGGCTGCATATTTCGCATCTTGCAGCTTGTAATCTGAAAAATATGATTTTCTTTTTGGGGGCATTTGTTTTCAGTCTTCTCAGTCATCTCTATCAGTTTGTTTAAATTGTAAAAAACAGGAGGAACAGGAGCAGCAGATACTGACACACAAGACTAGAGCCTCTCAAGACTGTCAGTGTGAAAATTTTAATATATAAGTCACACCGGAGTATAAATCGCAGGACCACCCAAACCATGAAAAAAAGTGCAACTTATAGTCCGAAAAATACAGTACACATTTCCACATGCCTTCAACCATTTAATACTCTGAGATAAACGGTGGAACTCTAACTCTCCTTCTCTGTTCTTTTTGCAGGTTTACTGGTGGGGACCTTGGATGTGGTGCTGGACTCGAGCGCCCGAATGGCCCCTTACAGAATCCTGTACCAGACTCCAGACTCTTTAAGCTACTGGATCATCGCTCACGGTACGCTCCTCTCACCTCTGCACTCAAAATCTCCCATAATTCTTGGCTAAATTATATAACGTGCTGTCTTATGATGTGTGATGAGGTCAGAGGAGTAGAGTTACCTCTTCCCATGCTCTAATGTCGTGCTTTTCCCATGTTAGCAGTTTAAATGAGAGCATTACCTCATGCCCCGGTGGATTCAAAGGGGAGGATTACTGAAAGAGGGCCCCAAATCAATACTGCGTCATGATTAGAAAGGACAGCCCATCATAATGAGCTTTAACTAATCTGGCTTCAACTGTGTTATTATTTTGTTCTCATAAAGTGTTTAGATGTGGAGTAGAGTTAAGTTTTTTGAACAGTTGTATGAAAACAGCTGATTGTTCTCACTTGATAAAATTAAGCTTATGTAATTTTGGTTTCTCTTCCTCAGACTATTACCGTATTTTCCGCACTATAGGGTGCACTTAAAAGCCTTTAATTTCATCAAAAAATGACTGCGCGCCTTATAATCCAGAGCGTCTTATATATTAATTTATTGGGGTGTCTTAATACAACTTTAGTAAACTACAAAGCCGCACCACTTGCAGCATTACGGCTCCCGTAGTCAGGAGCATCGAGGAGTAATACTGTGATTCCTTTTAATATTACCTGACAAGAGACACACTCACAACGCCCACTTTAAACTCAAGGCTGTTATAAAGTGAAAGTGTGAGCTGCGTGGAAGCAGTGGATGAGAGAAGGAGAACACACATTCACCAAGACAGAGAGACAGCGCCGAGCGACTTAAACCACGATCTGCCAGTGGATCGTAGACACCTGGGCTAAGGATCAATATCACCTGTGGTCCGAGCTTTCACCAAGACCCGAATCATCACTGAACTGCCAGGTAACAGTAACCACACTGACTCTGATAATGACGAGAGGGATATGGACGTGCTGGACGCCGGAATCACCCAACTGTTTGAACAATTATGAGTTATTGTGAATACACGAACAATTTAGCATCTCAGACAGTATTTTTTACGTCTTGAACAAAGTTGAGAGTTATTGTGAAATAAGGTTTGACTGACTTATTTAATTAACTGTTGTGTTTCCTTTAATGCGCCTTATAGTCTGGTGCGGTTTATATGTGAAAAAAGTTCGAAAATAGACCATTCAATGACAGTGCGGTTTATAATCTAGAGCACCCAATAGTGTGGAAAATACGGTATTTGTATAATTGTGTTTGACTCATACTATTCAGTTTTAATTAAGTTTGATCTATTTTTATAGAGCCTAAAAGCACAAAAGCTGTCACAGCTTTGGGTTACACAAAACTGTTGATTTAACCAACAGAAAGCAGAACTGGGCAGTTTTTCAAATTAATTAGTTTTTATTTTTTTGTTTTTAATAATCAAAAAATTACTAAATTGTAAAATAATTGAATTATTATGAAATAAGTTTGCTCCTGACATTGTAAAAAAGTCACACACAAAAAAATCACACGCGAAGACACAAAGTTGGGTCACACCTCCTCGAACTCCTGTAGTGTGTGGCGGCTTTTACTCAGCAAAGTTAACCCCATTTTTTACCCAATGTCAAAATATGAAAAAAATCTTACAAGATAATTTTCCTCATGTGTGCACAGTCTTGAGGCGATTTTGTGTCACGAGATCTTGTAGCACAAGATCCCTAGTAGTTTTACTTTCTTAGGATATGGTAAGCATAAAAGTGTAAAGTGTTTTTCTTGTTTGAGACCAGCTCTCTGCTCTGACTTAGATAAAAATCTATGAAAATCAAAACTGTCCAGTGTGTGCAAAAGAAATCTTTATTTTATTTTGTGGCCATATTACTCAGCCCTGCAGAAAGTAAAAAAAAATAAAAATAAAAAATAAAAAAACATAGATATGAATGCAGCACAGTGAAGTATAATAAAGTATAAGTGTAAGCATGGAAGTATCTCTAACAGTGGAAGTAGCAAGTATTTTTATAAGTTTCTTCAATTTGTCACCATAAATTGTATTATTACTTAATTTAAAAGCATAATTTTTGCCATACCAGATCTGTTTGGTTCTTTTTTTTTTGGTATAAGGCGATACTAGATCTAAAGAGAGACAGGCTAAGTCTTCACTGTTGTTATGCAATTAGACTGTTTGGTTTTGGGCAATTTGACTGGAGACAAACAGAAGCCAGGCCATGCCCCTCCCTCCCCTCCCCCCCTGACCCCTCTCCCCCAGGGCAGTAGTCTTCTGCTGCTCTGAGAGGCCTAATGCACTCATCATGCACTCAGTCTGCACTGTGGAAAACCATTACAGCAATCATCATGTTTTGGAGCCGCGAGAATTGTTTGTGTCCTCAGAACTGCTCAGTAGTAAAACGAAGACGGCCTATTGTGCTCGTTTCTGCGGTATAACTATAATCGATGACACTAGTGGATCGTTATGTTATAATTTGGACATTTTCAATCGTAATATTCATCTAAAATGACTTAATAAAAGAAACAAAACTGCTGACTTCTGTGTTTGAAAACTCCGGTCCCCATCAGGAGCCGATTTTGGCGTGAACGTCATCATAACAAGGAGATGTTGTTAGCAGCTCCGATGGATAGCTGCAGATCACATTAGGGAGTGTGGAGGTGAAACCAGGTCAAAATGAAGTGTTGAAAATGTCAAACGTGCACGAATCACTCCCAATACAATTTCCAAAGGGTAAATGAGAAGGGGAAACAACTATAACAAGTTTAAAAGCTCTGAAAAGTAAATTTTGCAGAATAGGAATGCTTTAAAGGGACAGTCCAGAATTTAGGGCCTCATTCTGTAGTGATCCAGAGTGTTGGAGACGTGTGAAGACACTTTTTGAAATATTCCATCCAGTCCTTGTATTTGCAGAGGTCGCTGGTGCTAGACTAGTGCATGTCAATGGCCACAGTTATTCTGCCACAAAAAACTGTTACCCACGCCACAGAACACCCGAAGCAAAACTATTATTACGCCAGACTGTTGATGTAAATGTCTGTGTTGATAGAATAATGTTTGAAATAAAATTAACCTAACATCGCATGAATCGTTGCATGTTGAGGGACTATTTTCTCATATATCAGGCCACAGCTGCCAATCTTTCTATCAGGAAGTACAACTCACTGTTGCTGCTCAGACATAAATCCTTCAAATGCAAGGCTGGTTTTACTTTTAAAATTATTCTATCAACACAGACATTCACATCGACAGTCTGGCGTAATAATAGATTTGCTGGTGCACTGTGTAACTTTTCTGGAGGAGGGTTCATCGCCTGCTTGTTTCTATGGATACTAGTGCACAGCCCGTAGAAGACTTTTGGATTCCAAGCGCAGCCAGTGATAACTTTAGAAGTCGTTTACGAATTCAAGTGTAGCCTCGTTCCCCAGCTGCATCCCTGTCATGTGATCGAATTTGAGATCGGTCGGGTAAGCGGTTCGAGTGTTACGCGTGGAGCTCACAGACAGACGTTCCTTGAATTAATAGATCGATGTCATTGCTCTGCCAGGAATGTTCTAGCCTGATTCATCAGCCGGTTTCACTTCGTAGAAACCGTCTGACCTCGGAGGATTAGAATTTGTTCGCTCGACGGTAGGCAGGTTCTTTTTTTCATTTAACCAATCTCTATTTGGTTGTGAGGTATGTAATGCGCTGCTAATGGGTCTAAATGGTACATTAAGCTTTTCCCAAATGCCGTTGGAAGAAGGGCAATAACATCTTTCCCCTTGATAAAATTCACCAAACATTCTCTTTGTTCTGGCTTTAAATCCTCGATCTTGGTAATCGATGCCAACACAGAATGTATGACTCTTCGCTGATTAGCTGGTGCCCGGGGTTTTTGCAACCGTCTAGTGTATTCTGATTCCTGACCTAGTTCGCTGGAGAGAAATAAAATTGAGGCACTAGGTGGCTCCAGCCTGGCTAGGAATGTTCCACAGTATGACATTAAACAGCTCTACCTTGCATTTATTAAATTACAGGTGATTTTATAGCTCAAAAATACTTGGAAAAACAGACATTCTGACTGTGCGCGGGGTCGCCTTTCCACAGATTTGACTTGTAACTTGGTCTGGTTTGGTCTCCATGCTGATAGAAAGGTTATACTGTGCCATACTGTGAAACATTCCAGACAAAGAAATAACTAATAATTTGACAGAAAAGTTGCACAATGCATCTTTAATAGTCTTATAATTCAAAAGTCTGATAATAATCTGATTTTGAGTGTGCATGAAACTGCTGTCATTGAAATATTATGATCAGAATGAATCATTTTTAAGCATATCTACAAAAAAATGTCCGTTACCTGCTTGTTTCTATGGATACTATGTCATTGCTCTGCCTGGAATGTTCCACATTAAACATGACAATAAACATTTCTACCATACATTTTGAATGACTGGTGGTTTTATAGCTCAAAAATACCTAGAAAAACTGGCATGATAGAAGATAGAAAAGTTAATGCCATACTGTGAAACATTTCCAACAAAGCAATAACATCTCCATGGAGAAAACCAGAAAAGCTCCACAGTGAATCTTTAACACGTTGTATTTACTGTGTGGGGAAACAAACAGGGAAGTGTGAACGAGTTTTTTAACAATAGAAATCACAAGGTTTAAACAGCGGGCAGGAGTTCACAGTCTAACCACAGCGAACAGACGTGCACCCATGTCACCCACAACAATGGGAGACGACGGAGGGTGGGCAGGTAGGTGCCAGATTCATGAAAAAGCTTTTGCCTCATTGGTCTTAACATCTTTGGGTGAACGGTGCGAGGTGAGGTTTGACACAGGAAGGGCACATGGGTTCAGCCTAGAAGAAAAATTACACAACGCGCCTTTAAACTTCAGCCCTGTGGAGTTATTTTTTTGTTTTTTTTTGTTTTGTTTTTTGCAGGAACCTCACGTAAAGAGATCACCGAGCACTGGGAGTGGCTGGAACACAACCTGCTGCAGACTCTGTCCATATTTGAGAACGAAAACGACATCACCACGTTTGTCAAAGGAAAAGTCCAGGTACACGTCCTACTGTCTATGTTCACACACGCACCAAAATCTGATTATAATCTGATTTCTGGACGTTTTAGATTATTTAAAGGTGCACTGTGTAACGTTTTGGTTGGTTGGATTTGTCATTGCTCTGCCTGGAATGTTCCACCGTGTGATATTAAACACCTCTACTTTACATTTATTCAATTACAGGTGGTTTTATAGCTCAAAAATACCTAAAAAAAAAAAAAAAAAACAGGCATTCTGACTGAACGGGGATGCCACTCCACAGATCTGACCTGTAACTTGGTCTGGTTTGGTCTCCATGAAGATAAAAAGGTTTAATGCCATACTGTGAAACATTCCAGACAAAGAAATAACAAATAATGTGACAGAAAAGTTGAACAGTGTTTATTTTTATTTAAATGATAATCAGCTGACTAAAGTAACAAAAACAAAATACTCGGGCCATATTATTAGAAATGACTCCTGTGATGATGATGATGATGATGATGATGATGATGACATCCAGCGTCAGTGTTGCAAATTGTATTCACGAGCAGATATGCAAAAATTCCATAAGTGTACAAATAATATCAAAACGACTCTTTTTCGATCATACTCTACTCCACTGAATACAGCTCATGTATGGTGTAATTACAGCAAAACAAAGATAAATAAGATGAAGGTGGCATAAAATGATGCTCTCAGAATTTTGCTAAAGACTCCAAGGTGAGAAAGTGCCAATGCTTTGTTTATGACTGCAGATATTCCCACGTTCCAGGCTCTAATGAGGAACCTCATGTATAAATTTATGTGCAGGTTAAATTAATCAAGAAATGAGGAAAGTGACACTCAATGTTACTCTGACATCTGGAAATGTTGGAAAAGCCAGCTGTATGTATTTTAATTAGTGATGTTATGAGATAAAGGGGGTGTTTCCATGAAGCGTGTATCCAGGCTTGCTTCATTTGGGGGAGGAGTCAAAAATGATGACGTCCGAAGCCTCTGAACATTTTGCTGCGAGCTATTACAGCCATATAGACCCTCAGGCTCCATTCAGAATGTGGGTACCGTATTTTCGACACTTAAAAGCCTTTAATTTCATCAAAAAATGACTGCGCACCTTATAATCCAGAGCGCCTCATATATGAATTTATTCAGGTGTCTTAGTACGACTTTAGTAAACTACAAAGCCACACCAATTGCAGCATTACGGCTAAATAATCAGAATCGTAACCAAAAAAAACTGCATCCAACAAAACTGAGATAAATAAAAGAGGCAAAGACGGATATTTTACACAATTACACAAATAATTTGAATGCAATCTTAAATATTTTATAATTTTTTTGTTAGATTGTTTTTATTTGGTGTTTATATTTATACTTTTTTGCTTGATGTATTTAAAGTGTTCTTTGAACTATTTGACTCAAAATTGATTCCATACGAATGTACCGAATCTGTAATTTGTAAAGTAAAAATTACATTTTACTTACTATACCTACTATATTTCTCCAAACACAGATGTCCGGTGATAATACTAGTCACACGTGAATCTGCATCTCAGTGTTTGTGGTTGTAATTGCGCATCTTTTCTATCTCCTTTTCTTTCCGTGTTCTTTTCTCTTTCAGTCTCAGGAAATGTTAGTAAAATAGAGTTTACAGACTTTGTTTATCCCGTGTGAATGCGCTGCAAGTAACACAGAGGTGTAAATATAATAATTTGCAGATTACCAGATGTCCCCAGGTTGTATTTGTCCCGTGCGAATAGATCTTTACAAAATGTTTGTAGATCTTCTTACGTTTATGGCTAACAGGCTTTATAGCGTTCGAACAGCTGCATCTCCGACTGCAGCCTTTGCTAATAACAATAATTAAAATCTGTTTTGGATTAAATCTCCATTAGGCCTGTCACAGTAACAGAAATTTAACGATAAACAATGAAACTACTTTAAGCCACTGACACAAGAACAATAAAGCAGGATAATCACAGTGAACCATTTTTATAGACAGTATCATTTAAAGGCTTGAGTTACAACAATTAAAGATGCACTGTGTAACCTTTCTGCATGGAAATGTTATTGCTTTGTCTGGAATGTTTCACGGTATGGCATTAAATCTTTCTATCTTCATGGAGACCAAACCAGAACAAGTTACAGGTCAGATCTGTGGAGAGGCAACCCCGCTCACAGTCAAAATATGTGTTTTTCTATGTATTTTTTGAGCTCTAAAACCACATGTAATTGATTTAATGTAAGGTTGAGCTGTTTAATGTCATACTGTGGAACATTCGAGGCAGAGCAATGACATATTCATAGAAACAAACAGGTGACGGACCTTTAAATAGTGAAATGAAGCAGTAGTTAGCCATAGAAATAACTTGGGCTACGTTCAGACTGCAGGGCTTTATGCTCAATTCAGATTTTTTTGTGAAATTCGATTATTTTTTTGCGAGGTCGTTCACATTTCCAATTAAATGCGACTTGTATGCGATCTCCAGTGTGAACTTTAAATGCCCCAAAAGTGTTCCACATGCTCAGTGTTTATGGATGTTGACTAAACGCTGGGTCCAGTTCTTCGTAAAATGGACAGGTTACACATCCACGGCCGCTTCGTTTGTTTGGGTCTTTAGCCTCCTTGTATTTGACTCGCAGGCTCTTTGTTTTTTGTTGACATTGGAGCCAGGACTGTCTGTAGCCGCACTCGGACATTTCACTTCAGTTCAGAACTGAAGAAGCAGCTTGGATGAGCTGTGAAACGTCTTCAACCAAACTAACTTTTGTCCAGTCGACAAACTGAATTTTCTCCTCATGGATTCTACCTGAACGACTGATGGATTCTTCACATGTCAAAAGATCTGATATGTAATGGTTTTAGGAGCACATATCCAAGTGGCCTGGGTCTCATATGAAAAAATCTGATCTGTGTCATTCAGACTGTCATTAAAAGATCAGATACAGGTCACATAGGGGCGAAAAAATCAGATTTGGGTCACTTCAGGCTGCAGTCTGAACGTAGCCTTATTCAACCCTCTACAGCTTAAATCTTATGGTATTACAACTAAAATAACAATTATTGCAAAGAAAAAGTACACTGTTGATATAGTAATTATATGATCTATGTTATAATGTTGTTTCCTTATCACTAGGGCTGGGTATCATTAAAAAGTTGCCGATACGATACATACCTCCATACACAGGCCACGATACAATACATATACATATTAATACGATCTTTCAAATTGATTCGATATGGTTCAATAAAAAATAAAGGCTAAATCAAGGCTGATTGATAGTAAAAGTCTTTGTTAAATCACTTCTTGTTCAAAGTTCATATGAAACACAAACGTTTTAATCACCAAAACTGTGAAAATATCAAAAGTGTTGCATAAACAAGTTTCTTTTCACTGAACAAGCAACAAAACTGTAGCGCTGTAACAAAATAATTTACTAAAATATACCAAAAGATAGTCTTGGTGATATATCGATACTGTATCATCACATTAAACAATACGATATATCGATATTTTGATATTTTTGCACACCCCTACTCATCACAAACAAACCTGGAGTTGTGTTTTGTTTCATTCACACATGTTTAACACACACATCCTGCATTGTTAGGCTTCAGAGTTCTTCTCTCAAACAGAAAACACTCTGCTCCACCTTTATGATGTCATGTGGTAATACAGGAAAAGCTCCACTGTGTTTTTAAACTCCATACACCTTCACTAGAATCATTTGGATGATTTCAGTCCTGGAAATTGCCAATCTCTGCGAAACAAAAGGTTAAAGGTAGCTGAAAACTACAGCTTCATGACATCACAAGGTGGAGCAGAGCATTTTGAGGTTTGGAAATGCAGACAGACTAATGAGAAAGTGTTACTCAAACGTGTGAATGAAACAAAAACACAAAACATAACTCTGGGTATGTTTTTAAGGAGGTAACAACATTATAGCAGAGTGTAACATTACATTTCCAATTTTCTTCTCTGACAGGGCATCATCGCAGAGTACAACAAGAACCACGACGTCAAAGAAGACGACGACACGGATAAGTTTAAAGAGGCCAGCGCCAAGTTTCGGAAGCTGTTTGGGATGCCCGAGGAGGAGAAGCTGGTCAACTACTACTCGTGCAGCTACTGGAAAGGCAAAGTCCCCCGTCAGGGCTGGCTCTACCTCAGCATCAACCACCTCTGCTTCTACTCATACCTGCTCGGCAAAGAAGGTCAGAGTCTATCACAGAATTAGGGCCCATATTACACTACTTTATGATCTATGTTATAATGTTGTTTCCTCATTATAAACATACCTGGAGTTGTGTTTTGTTGCAGTCACACATGTTTAACTTCGAAACTGGTGATACAGGAAGTGCTCCACTGTGTTTTAAACTCTGTACACCATCACTAGGGTTACATTTACACTGAAACTAATCAACGTATCACTGTATCGGAAACAATTTGCGTCCAGACATGTCGTTTCTGTTGTTTATAATTGTTTTCTGCAATAGCGTCACATGACACAAACCCAGCAAATCAGGAAGGCAACTCCACTGGCTCCCTTTACAATACAGCATCCAATACAAGATCCTACTCACCACCTACAAGTCCCTCCAGGACTGAACCAGGACTGAACCAGGACTAAACCAGGACTAAAACAGGACTAAACCAGGACTAAAACAGGTCTAAAACAGGACTAAACAGGACTAAAACAGGTCTAAAACAGGACTAAAACAGGACTAAAACAGGTCTAAAACAGGACTAAAACAGAACAAAACAGGACTAAACAGGACTAAACAGGACCAAAACAGGACTAAACCAGGACTAAAACAGGTCTAAAACAGGACTAAAACAGGACTAAAACAGGACTAAACAGGACTAAAACAGGACTAAACAGGACTAAAACAGGACTAAAACAGGACTAAAACAGGTCTAAAACAGGACTAAAACAGGTCTAAAACAGGACTAAAACAGGACTAAAAAAACTAAACAGGACTAAAACAGGTCTAAAACAGGACTAAAACCAGGACTAAAAACAGACTAAAACAGGACTAAAACAGGACTAAAACAGGACTAAAACAGGACTAAAACAGGACTAAACCAGGACTAAAACAGGACTAAAACAGGACTAAAACAGGACTAAAACTGGTCTAAAACAGGACTAAAAAAGGTCTAAAACAGGACTAAAACAGGACTAACAACTGGTCTAAAACAGGACTAAACCAGGACTAAAACAGGTCTAAAACAGGACTAAAACAGGACTAAAACAGATCTAAAACAGGACTAAAACAGGACTAAACTGGTCTCAGTCCTGGTCTCAGTCCTGGTCTCAGTCCTGGTCTCAGTCCTGGTCTCAGTCCTGGTCTCAGTCCTGGTCTCAGTCCTGGTCTGGTCCTGGTGTCAGTCCTGGTCTGGCCCAGGTCTGGTCCCGGTCTCAGTCCCAGTCTGGTCCCGGTCTCAGTCCTGATCACCCAACAGGGTATGTGGGCGCATCTCCACGCCCGTCCCAGCACTCAGTCCTGGTTCAGTCCTGGTTCAGTCCTGGTTCAGTCCTGGTTTAGACCTGGTTTAGTCCGTATGCGGGGCAGAAGTCCTGCATCGCAGTTTAAGACTTAAGACTAAAATCACGGAAACAGGAAACGGTCGTTATCCATTTTTTCCATTATTCATTTAAACACAAAATCAAAAACTGAAAAAGCTAATCGTTATCAGTTTTTTCATTTTGGGTTTGGAGACAAATAATGAAGAAATTGTTTTCTCGTTTTCTTATTTTTGATTTTATTTTGAAAAACAAATGAATGAATGATACACGGATGCAGGAGCTTAAGCATGAGGGTTTGAGGGTTTGTGGTCTAGTTTAGGAGTTTAATTTTCAACAAAAAGGTGAGAGCTGTTTGTGGTCAAATTATGTTAAAAAATGCTTAGATTAAAGTCTAACAAAGCAGACAGAGCAGTGCCTACAGATATCATCACATCCCCAGGGAAAGTTGATGATATCTGCTGAAAAAAAGTATAGATTTTGTGGATTATCAGGTATTTCTTTTTAAAGTCCTTCAGAAATGTGCCTTGTTTGAGATTGAAAATTGACACAAATGTGAATAAACTGTAAAATTAATCCCAAAACTGCAGAATTATCCCTTTAATACATGTTTATATAGATTTTTCTTAAAGGCGTTACTCTTGATAATCTAATCTAACATCTCACCAGACTTTGATTCCCAGATGGCGTGGTGTGGGAGTGTCCGTATTTTTATCTCTGTTTATTTTGGTTTTTGCCACGAGCTCTTTCCTAATAACGTTTTGTTATTCTCCCTTAAAGAAAAAAAAACAGAAATATTCTCTGTTCTCAAGAAAAATGTCTAAATAAAGAGTGCAGACTTCCCCATGCTGAAATATAACCTATGGTCTTCCCTTATGTAACGATTCAGATGATCAATGATTCATGTTTTATTGTTTTATTTTGAAAGTTATGGGTCATTATATTGACTTGTGTCTGCTGGCCTGAGACCTCTGCCTTATCACATCAAGTCATAATGTAGAAAATAGTAAACATAAAGAAAAAAAAAACATTGAATGAGATGGTGTGTACAAAGTTTTGACTGTGTATATTGAACAAAAAGTTGATATTTGTGTCTAAAAATGTCCTATATACTGTAAGTCTGATGTTTTGTACTGCAGGGCTTAATGCTCAGTTCTGATTTTTTTGTGAAATCAGATTTTTTTTTGCAAGGTGGTTCACATTTCCAATTAAATGCGACTTGTATGTGATCTCCAGTGTGAACTTTAAACGCCCCAAAAGCGTCTTTGGAGCAGTTATATCGGCTCAACGCTGGGCTTGTCCCCCAAAATACGAGACAGTTCTTTGTAAAATGGACAGGTTACACGTTGTTTGAGCCTTTAGCCTCTTTGTATTTGGCTCACAGCCTCTTTATTTTTGTTAACATTGGAGCCAGGACCGCCTGTAGCCACGCTTGGACATTTCTTTGGCAATCATTTCAAAAACCACCCAGTTCCTTCCAAGACTCCTCCAGTTTGGCCTGAATACAGTGATACTCTCAAATATTAATTCACTCGCTAACCTCATTGACTCGACTCTGAGCCTTCAAAGCCTGAAAATTTTCTTGCATTGTCATCCGCCATCATCCGCCATGGTTGTGGCTTTCTTCTAGTTTCCGCCTACTTCAGCGCTGAATAGTGACATTTGTCGCTTGTTGATGACGTGTAGGTGGGATGAATGTGACCTGACCGTTCAGACTGAAGTCTCATAAGCTCGGATATGTATTTAAGGAGCACATATCCAAGTGGCCTGGGTCGCATTTGAAAAGATGGGATCTGTGTTGTTCAGACTGTCATTAAAAGATCAGATACAGGTCACACAGGGGCAAAACAAATAGGATTTGGGTCACTTCAGGCTGCAGTTTGCACGTACTATGTAGGGCCTGTTCACACGAGAACGCTTGCGGACAAAAATGACAAAATATTTTATCTGAAGTGCCTTTCGTTTAGACCAGGCATGTCCAAACTATGTTCCGTGGGCCAAATGCAGCCCTCAGACAAATTTTTCTTGGCCCCCAGCCTTCCAGGTGAATTGACCCAAATTAACTTGCATCAATTAAAACTTTTAAAACTGTAAGTTTTTGAAAATCTACCTTGATAATATTTATATTATCAATTATATTTAATATCTAGTGTATGGTTTTAAGGATCTTAGCATAAATAAAGACTTATGGCTCATTCTAACGTGTTAAATTTCAGTTATTCACTGTATTGAGCATCAGTCTATGGCCTGTGTTTAGATATGTGGCCCTTGATGAAAAAAGTTTGGACACCCCTGGTTTAGACGGTGTCTGCGTTTTCAGGGCTTAAAAATGCACAAATCTGAAACCACCCTCCAGAGTTGACAAGTTAATATGCTCCACTGTAGTGTTTCCGTCTTCACTGCCCAACACGCAAAACTCTGGTCAGATCTGCTCACGTCGCGTACGTGTTTACGTTGCATACATCACCACTTAGCATCACCTCATAGCCACTTGCATGCATCCCCAAGTGAATTCCACACACTCTTGCAACACCATATGCAAGCAGATTTCCTCCCGAAAACTCTAAACCCGGAATAAGAAAAGATGTGATGCCACTTTTGCATCTTCTGTTCAGACTAGGGATGGGCATGATTAATCGATTAATCGATAATTGATCATTAAGAAGTTCATCGATTACGTTAATTTTAATCGACAAACCGAATGTAGGTTGCTGTGTGTAGCGTGACCAAACAGGGGTCTGTACATGTGTCTCTCTGCACTCAGAAGGAGCGAGCAAACACAAACAGTCGGTCAGTCTGCAACGTACCGAAGCACAAATGCGTATTTAACGATGATTTGTACAAGAAATTCCACGCTTTCCGTTCCGTTCGGGACAAGCGGGAGGCCATGTGCACAGTGTTTCAGTGTTCAGTGGGATAAAGCTTTGCCAGGTGAGAGTCGCGCAATGTCGATGACGAGTCCCCACCTCCCTCCCCCCGTACGGTGTCCTGGTTTTGACAAACGCAAATATGTTCACACTAACCTGTATTCACCTGAGTCATGTCTTTTAATCTGACAGAAATTGACCGCATCAGCGCACAAGAGCTGTAGTTTTATCTTCGTTTAGTTTATGCAAATTAGCGATGCGGTTTCAAGTTTTGTTTCTGTGAGAGTTGCGCAAAACTGAATTAAACGCATTATAATGTCAAACGGGCTGATGTGGCTCTAGAGTCGTTACGGTTTATATGTCGTAAAGTTGAATTTATTTATGCACATTAGTAGTGCAGATAGTAATAATAATGATGATCATTTTAATATAAAAACGTTAATGATTAATCGATAATCGATCGTTAATTCTTCCGACGATCGATTAAGAAAATTTCATCGAATGCCCATCCCTAGTTCAGACTGTCATCATATAAACGTATCCTCAGATCCACAAGGGAAATTACTTGGACACAGTAGCTCACACATCACATTATACAATAACAAAGAGTAAAAAAATATAAAAATGGTAATAAAAATGCCTTAATAAGTGGAGACTGGTGTCAAATAAAGCGTAATAAGTGTGCATTATCATACGTACAGACTGTCTCTTCTTTCTCAGCCAAACTGGTGGTGCGTTGGGCGGACATCACACAGTTGGAGAAGAGCGCCACCCTGCTGCTGCCGGACGTGATCCGAGTGAGCACCCGCTGCAGTGAGCACCTCTTCTCTGTGTTCATCAACATCAATGAGACGTTTAAGCTGGCGGAGCAGCTGGCTAACATCGCCATGAGGCAGCTGCTGGACAACAAAGGCTTCGAAGAGGACCGCTCCCTGCCCAAACTCAAGAAGAAGTCTCCCAAGAAAGTGTCAGCCCTGAAGAGGTAGGAACAAAGCAAAGTTTTAAAGACAGGGGTTGCTTTTTTTTTTTTTTTTTTTTTGCTTTCTATTATGTAAGAACTTTTTTCCTTGATTAAAAACATGCCTGAAGAGGATTTAGATGTCTCTCCCTGGCTCTATTTGAACCTTTTTTATGATTAGTTGTTACTCTCACCAAAATAAAGATGCCGAACTTTTGCGCCATATATGGACTGAACCAGGACTGAACCAGGACTAAACCAGGACTAAACTAGAATTGAACCAGGTCTAAACCAGGACTAAACCAGGACTGAACCGAGGACTGAACCAGGACTAAACCGAGGACTCAAACAGGACTAAACCAGGACTCAACCGAGGACTGAACCAGGACTGAACCGAGGACTGAACCAGGACTAAACCAGGACTGAACCGAGGACTGAACCAGGACTAAACCGGGACTGAACCGAGGACTGAACCAGGACTGAACCGAGGACTGAAACAGGACTGAAGCGAGGACTGAACCAGGACTAAACCGGGACTGAACCAAGGACTGAACCAGGACTAAACCGGGACTGAACCGAGGACTGAACCAGGACTAAACCAAGACTGAACCGAGGACTGAACCAGGACTAAACCGGGACTGAACCGAGGACTGAACCAGGACTGAACCAAGGACTGAATCAGGACTGAACCGAGGACTGAACCAGGACTGAACTGAGGACTGAAACAGGACTAAACCAGGACTGAACCGAGGACTGAAACAGGACTAAACCAGGACTGAACCAGGACTGAACCGAGGACTGAACCGAGGACTGAACCAGGACTGAACCAGGACTGAACCGAGGACTGAAACAGGACTAAACCAGGACTGAACCAGGACTGAACCGAGGACTGAACCAGGACTAAACCGGGACTGAACCGAGGACTGAACCAGGACTAAACCGGGACTAAACCGGGACTGAACCGAGGACTGAACCAGGACTGAACCGAGGACTGAACCAGGACTGAACCGAGGACTGAACCAGGACTAAACCGGGACTAAACCGGGACTGAACCGAGGACTGAACCAGGACTAAACCAGGACTGAACCAGGACTGAACCAGGACTTAATCAGGTCTAAACCAGGCCTACGTCTAAATGAATGATACACGGATTGTACACAATGGTTTAATAATTAATGTTGTGCTTTGGCTCAGGTCCATAATGTTGACTTATAAAAATGAAAGAGTTAGTAGTTAAATAGTTAAATTAGAGTTAGATTTCATTTTTTTTCACTATCCCTTTAACATCCTCCTCAACACTGACCTTGTGTTTGAGGACAACTGTTATGCAAACGTGTTTTTGTGCCTGATCTTGTGGAGCCTGTGAGGGAGGCCTGATCCCTGCTCTGGGCTAATAAATCCACACAAGTATTTCATTGTGTGCAGATTAATATTCGAGTGTAATCTCACTTGTTCTGTGTTCACAATCTGGATTTAAATGTATTCAAATGATTTGCAAATACGGTTACATAATAATGTTTTTACTTACTGCATGGAATAGAGATAGGCTGATATATTAGACCGATATTTGGACTTTTTATCTGTGTTTACTTTGGTTTTTGCCATGAGCTCTTTCCTAATAATGTTTTATTATATCCCTTCAAAGAACAAAAGACAGAAATAGTCTCTGTTCTCAAGAAAAATGCCTAAATAAATAAAGAGTGCAGAGTTTCCCATGTTGAAATATAACCTACGGTCTTTCCTTATGTAATGATTCAGATGATCAATGATTCATTTTTATCATCATATTTTGAAATTTATGGGTCATTATATTGACTTGTGTCTGGAGGCCACATGAGCCTGACCTGAGACCTCATACATACAGATCCTGGTCAAAAGTTTGGACACGTTTTCTTCTTTATTTACATGGTTATTTTCATTGTAGATTCTCACTGAAGGAATCAAAATTATGAAAGGACACATATGGAGTGTGGCAAACAAAAAATAAGGTTGAAATAACTTTTTAGATATATATATATATAAAAAATCCACTCTTTGCTTTGAACCTGGTTTACACTTTTGGCATTTCTTGACCCTGACATAGAACAGCTGTGAAGTGAAAACCATTTCAGGAGACTACATCCTGAAGTTCACTGAGAGAAGTTCAAAGGTTTGCAGCGCTGTCAACAAATCAAAGGGTGGATACTTTGAGGATTTGGAAATAAATTGAAATTATATAATGTCAGAAAATAACAGAGATATTAACACAAAGAAACTCAGAAGGCAGAATTCAGGGTTTTTACTCGCACCCAGGGACAGAGGCGCTGCTACAGCTCTTAACCCTCTCCAGGCAGGCGTTGCAGATTTGCAACAGCTAAATTCCAATTACCTACTTACTCCACATCCATATTTTATGAGCTTTTTTTTAATCAGGAGCCTTTTCTCCCATCCATGCTGATAAACGTGGACGATGCGGCCTGCCAGAAGTGCAAAATACTTTTTTTGTTTACAAAGGATAAAAAAGTCAGGATTGTATATTACTACCCCATATTATAATTTTCCCCAAATATCAGATTTTTCCTGATACTAAAAATTAATTTGAGCCTGAGAGGGTTAACTGCCGAAGAACCACCGTCAAGAATGAATGGGCGGTTATATTTTTCTATCACAGTAAAAAACACAGAGAATAAAGGTGTGTGTGTGTGTGTGTGTGTGTGTGTGTGTGTGTGTGTGTGTGTGTGTGTGTGTGTGTGTGTGTGTGTGTGTGTGTGTGTGTGTGTGTGTGTGTGTGTGTGTGTGTGTGTGTGTGTGTGTGTGTGTGTGTGTGCCAGCTGCTGAGGTGTAGGGAGGGATGTGCGTAGGGAGGACTGTCCTTGCGGAAGATAACAGTTAATGAGAAGTTGGTTTTCCCGTGAGAAATACACTTTGAGAAATACCCTTTGATAAAATAAGACAAAGAATCATCTATACAGCATCTGAAAAACTCTTTAACATATAATTAACTTGTTTTCTTTGTTACATAATTCCTGTCTTCCATATGTTTATAAAATGCAAAAAAAAACAATGAATGAAATGGTGAGAGAAGACAGCAAATATTTTCGTTTCGACCACCCTCCAGAGAGGAAAAGTTTTATACGCTCTGCCTTAGCGTTTCTGTTTACACTCCCCAGGATGCAAAACTCTGGTCAGATCTGCTCACGTCATGTACACGTTTACATCACATACATCACCATCTAGCACACGGTGTCAAACATAAGGCCTGGCCCTCCAAGACCTTTAATCTGGTCCTACTAAAATATTTAATTATATTTTCTATTAAAATATTGGTAATTTTCTGCGTCGTTTAGCATAGCAGCGTCTCCAGCGTCTCTGTACGTGGCCCCTCCCACCAGAGCAGCACAAATGAAGACTTGTCTCTTTCCAAACGCTCTTAAAGGACGATCGTTTTGACTGTTGACCATGACACCCTCATCAACAAAATGTCAAAAATGAGAAAAGTGGAGCCGAGTGCAGGATTTTCCAAGAAAAAAATGACTATTTGCATACAAGTTAATGTTAAATTTTTATTTCCATGTTTATTTTCATTGTAGATTGTAGATAGAAGGAATCAAAATTATGAATGGACACATATGGAGTGTAGCAAACAAAAAATAAGGTTGAAATAACTTTTTAGATATAAAAAAAAAAAATCCACTCTTTGCTTTGAACCCTGGTTTACACTTTTGGCATTTCTTGACCCTAACATAGAACAGCTGTGAAGTGAAAACCATTTCAGGAGACTTCACCCTGAAGTTCATTGAGACAAGTTCAAAAGTTTGATGTGATAGTGGTGATTGTTGCTGTACTTTTCCTTGTCTTGTAGATGATTTTACATCAATTTGCCGAGGGACTGAAGATGGAAATTAGCCACGCTGACTATAATCTTTACAAATTTACTTTTTAAATGTTCATTAATATGTGCTGTCCCTTTACAAATAAATAAATAACACATAAAGTTTGCAGCACTGTTAACAAAACAAAGGGTGGATACTTTGAGGATTTGAAAATAAATTAAAATGATATAATTATAGTAAATATATATTTAGTAGAGTTAAATGGTTTCTTTATTGCATAATTACCTATATATTTTGATTTGATGTCTTCTGTATGTTTATAAAATGTAGAAAGAACAATGAATGAAACGGTGTGAGAAGACAACAAATATTTTCTTTTTATCATATCAGCTATTGGCCTTAAATTTATAAATTGTGTCATTCAGTTTACAATTTTGGCTTCTCAATTGTTGTATTTATTTAATTTGATGGATTTGTGGTTTTTGTAGCATTGCTTTTTGTATTACTGCTTCTTAAGACGAGTTACTCAACAAAGTTGCGGTAACCTTTTCATTCAAAGGAAATGTAAAAACATGAGGAAAAATGTGTCACGAGATCATTTCCTCATTTCTTGTGGCACAAGATCTAGTCTGTATCGGTCGATCTCTAGCCTAAAAATAAATAAATGATTGTCATGTTGATGTTGTTTTAGGGACCTGGATGCCAGAGCCAAGAGTGAGAGGTACCGGGCCCTTTTCCGTTTGCCCAAAGATGAGAAGCTGGACGGGCACACAGACTGCACCCTGTGGACCCCGTTCAACAAGATGCACATCCTGGGACAGATGTTTGTGTCCACCAACTACATCTGCTTCATGAGCAAAGAGGAGAGTCTGTGCAGCCTCATCATCCCACTCAGAGAGGTACGACTTTTCTACTACAGCAGCAGCGTATCCAGACCTTTTTCACTGGGTTGGCCCAAGGGCAGTACCAATAAATAATTTTAAAGGGTCTATATTACACTGTTTTTAGTCTAATCTGTACTATAATGTTGTTTCTTCATCACAAACATACCTGGAGTTGTGTTTTATTTAGTTCACATACATTAACCTTTCCAGAGTGTCATACATCCTTTTTTTCAGTACAATCTGTTATTTCACAATCTGCACACTGTAGTTGTGTCAAAAAGCTGTAATAAAAGCTATAGGATCATAAATACAAATGAAAGAAAAAAAAACTGAAAATAAAATTACTCTTAAAACACTCTTTCATACAAAACACACAGCAAACATTTATAAACAACCTTTTGGACATAAAAGATGTTTAATTTAGGGCTTTAGCTACAAAAATGCTATTTATTAAAAAGTGTAATCACCACAGCGTGCAGAAAATCGGAAAGCCACAAGTCTCAGCTTTTGAAAGAAAAAAAAGTATGTTTCTGTCTTTAATGGCTGGAAAGTTATAGCCAGGCTAGCGCCACCTATTCCCTACGCTCCATTTCATTTCTCTCCCACTACTAGGTTAGACATCGGGATACACTAGAGGGTTCACAAAAACAAAAAAGAAGTGCGAGTCCGGGCACCAGCCAATCAGCGAAGAGCCATACATTCTGTGTTGGTAACGATTCCCGAGATCGAGGATTTAAAGCCGGAACAAAGAGAATGTTTGGTGAATTTCATCAGGGGAAAGACGTTATTGTCCTTCTTCCTACGAGATTTGGGAAAAGCTTAAAATACCAGTTTGCCCTGTTAGTGGTGCATTACATACATCATGAATCAGGCTAGGATGTAGTCAAGACGGGGGTCACTTGTCGTCAAGGTGAACGCCCTAGCTATAAAGCTCTGCGGGAAACACTGCCACCTCAATTGTGGACGAGTTCCGGCATGAATATTAAAGAGCTGAACGTCCCGTACAGAAACAGTTCAGCACGAATACATGTACCGTTACACCCCTATTATTTACCCCCCATTATACTGCCTCAGCCCCTTGGAGTGGGGTGACCAGTCAGATTTGAGGGGTGACCTGTTCTCTCTGGTTGCTCCCTAGAAATGCCCCTGTTTTATGGGACCCCTTTATTTTCTCAGTATTTTCAGTGTAGGAGTCTTCTGCTTTACTTATTAACAGACTAAATGACTGAAGGACTACAGCTCTACTGAAGTTCATCACTTCTCTGGGACTCTGTTGACAATAAACACATGATAATATCTCGTGACAGGTGACCATTGTGGAGAAGGCCGACAGCTCCAATGTTCTGCCCAGTCCGCTCTCCATCAGCACCAAGAACCGTATGACGTTTCTCTTCGCCAACCTGAAGGACAGAGACTTCCTGGTCCAGAGGATCTCGGACTTCCTGCAGCAGACCACCTCCAAGATCTACCTGGAGAAGGAGCTGACCAGCAGCCTCAACAGCTCAGACGACGAGGTACCACCAGGGCCCGTGTCCGTAAATACTGTTGATACTTTGCAGCTGATGTCGTCGATATTCTCTGGGGGTGTGGTGCTAACTGTAGGCACTGCTCTGTCTGAGGCTTTGTTAGACTTTAATCAAAGAGTTTCACAGTCTGACCAGAAAGAACTGACTTAGTTGACAAGTCCCTCTCATTTTTGTTGAAAAGCAAACTCCTAAACAGAACCATGAATGTTTGTATTGATCACAAGCTCCTGAAAATGTGTTTTTTTTTATTCATTTTGTATTTTTCTGGAGTTTTCAGAGTACTTTAAAACATTTTTTTTTCAGTGATTGCTAATGTGTAACTATGATAACTACTGAACATTCCGCTATAGAGATACATGTTGAACACCCCCAGCGCAACGTCACTGCAAAGCATCAGTTGCCACGTTTACATGAGAGCTTTAATTGCGAATAAAAATAATTTAATTCTGAATAATAATTAATTCTGCTTTAAAAAGACCATGTAAACACTTAATTCCTAATGAAAATGATTATTTAAGTTTAATTCCGAATTAAGTGGGTGTTTTTTTGTTTTTGTTTTTTTTCTAATTTAAAGCCGATTTAATTTATTCCATGATCGTGTAAATGTTTATTCTTCTTAAAAATAATTTTGGTCGTTCAGTGCATGCTTGTTGGGTTGCCCTTTGGCTCCACCAGTCCTGGCTTCGGACTTTGATCCACTGCTCTTTGGATTTGCGAGCGGGATGCGGGAGTGGGCTGAGGTAGAGCAGCCTTTGACTCAGTTTGTCTTCTTCCTCTCTTCTTGGACACTCTTCCCTTCTCCTCCTCTGCCGACAGACGTAAAGTGCGATGAGAGAATTCTCCAGTTGCTGCTTCGTTATCATCGAATCGACTGCGGAAAAAGTTTGGATCGTGTTTGTGTCCGTGGCGTAACGACAAACTGAGATGACAAAAAATCCGGTAGCAGCTGAAGCGTGCGTTTTCTTCCGCTCGACGTAAAAACATTCGTATCTCTGTCCAATCAGAACCCTTCCCAACTTCTCAGACGTTGAACGAAATTAAATAAAAGCAATTTAACGTGTTTTCCATGTAAACTCGAAGGAGAATATTCTAATTCCGAACTATTTCATTCAGAGCAATTAATTCGGAATTAAAAAACATCATGTAAACGTGGCCAATGTCAAATTATCGTTCAATACCTGATAGACGGAATGAATATTTTGGAGGTCAGAGTAGCTTTTTTTTTTTTTTTTTCTGTACTATGATCAGATTTGAATATTTTGAAGCGTGATATATTCTGATAAAAGATCATATCAGTATTATCATTTAGCGTCTAGAGTTTCTTCATCAACACTTGAAAATGTGTTACTATGATGAGGATTGAGCCTCATTTGGACTGTTGTGTTTTCCTCTGTCCTCTGCAGGTCTACTCTCACAGCTCTAACCTGTCCAGCAGCCCTCAGACCAGCCTGGGCTCAGACTGCGAGAGGAGCTTTAACCTGAACGACAGCAGCGTGCCCACCGCCTCACAGGCCCTCATGACCATGTACCGCCGACGCTCGCCCGAGGAGTTCAACCCCAAACTGGTCAGTGACATGAAGGACACCAGAGCATAAGACCAGCAGATGTAGTGTTTTTTAGTACACAGTGTGGACTAAAAGGCATTCAGGTCCAGATTTTGAGCCAGTTTCATGTTAGACATAGGAATTTATTCTGGAATTTATTTAGGGACAAAACAGCTCAATTTTAAGACCAAAGTGACGAGGCTCAGTCCAGCAGGTAAAGGGCCACATGAGAAACAGAAAATACTGTGGAGTCCAAAATACTGAACTCAGTTCATAATATTAACTGTATTTTGTTATAAAAAGCAGTAAACCACTAAATCTGTTTAGTCTTAGTTTACACCTGGTTTAGGACCTTGGTTTAGAACTGGTTTACTTCTGGTTTAGTTTTGGTTTAGACCCTGTTTAGACCTGGTTTAATTTTGGTTTAGTCCTGGTTTAGACCTGGTTTAGTTCTGGTTTAGACCTGGTTTAGTTCTGGTTTAGACCTGGTTTAGTTCTTGTTAGTCCAGGTTTAGACCTGGTTTAGACCTGGTTTAGTTCTGGTTAGTCCAGGTTTAGACCTGGTTTAGACCTGGTTTAGACCTGGTTTAGTTCTGGTTTAGACCTGGCTTAGTTCATGTTTAGTCCTGGTTTAGACCCAGTTTAGATCTGGTTTAGTTATGGTTTAGACTTCATTTAGACCTGGTTTAGACCTAGTTTAGACCTGGTTTGGTCCACGTTTAGACCTGGTTTAGTTCTGGTTTAGTTCTTTCAAAAAATATAATAAAAAAAACACCTCTTAAATAAATTAATAACAAAAGTAATGCAGCTTTAGTCCACGCCTGAGGTAAAATGATAAAATATGTTTATTTTTGTAATTCCAAATGATCTTAAATGGGCCGGTCAGAGTCAAAAAAGGGCCCCGGGTATGTGGCCCCAGACCTGGACTATCCCCAGATCTGAGCTAACAGGTTTTACTATGTCCATTCATATCAAGTCTATTGCTGTGAATATAGTTTTTGTTTTTCTTAAGTATTCAATAGAAAAGTAAATGATACGAATTGAAAAAAGCACTAGCACTAAAAAGTCACATTTGTTTTTCCAATCAGTATCATCAGTATAATTCATAACATGCAAATAATTTCTCTGATGGTCTTCTTTAAACGACCAGCTCGTCTTTCATTAACATTTCCAGACCGTTATTCTCTGATTTGCATTTCACACAGCGCTGTGGTGAAATGCAAATAAAGTCATGCTGATAAGTGTCTCTAGTTTCACATTGTTGAAACAAAGCCAACAAAGCTGTCCTCATTTAACGTCTTTGCAATGCACCCAGTCATCACTAGTAATAAAAGCATCAAATATTAAACATGTTTTGTACAGTAATGTCTTTTGTTCTGAAGTGAATTAGGAAACAGCCTGAAGAGGTGAACAATGTTATGCCATTATAACGATATACGTGAGCATTTAGGCCTATTTATTTTTATTTTGCATTAAACAAAACATGAACCTACCTGAAGTTACTTAAAGCCGCCAGACATTACAGGAGAATTTATCCGATTTTGGCTCAGATTTGCTTCTTCCCGAGTTCAAGGAGGCGTGACCTGACTTTGTGTCTTCGTGTGCGATTTTGAAGCCACTGCTAAACATCAACAATGCTACGATAACAGACAATAAAACAGAGTGTCAGGAATGGACGGAGTGACGGACACAAAGGAAATAGCAAAAATAATGAGAAGACTTAATTACTCACCTCTCCTAAAGTTGTACATTTACAGTGCAGCATCTCATCCATTTTATCCATAGAATTTTTTCTCCACTAAACAGCGCTATTAATCCAGTTTGAGGTGTTCTTTAAAAGTAAAAAGGTGGGAGTAGTTCCTTACGTGTGTTTGTTTACAGCCACACAGCGCACAGATAGGGGTAAAGCTGCAGATTAGTTATACTGACTCTACTTCCTGTGTGCTCTATCTCCAATCTTTTATGCTTTAATCTGAAGTACTGCACCACATTTCACAAATTCACAAACCTGACCCTGGCTCCAGTTGACTTACATTAGAATCTTGTCGCCCCTCTCTCTGTAACTGCTGCAGGGAGCCTCGTCATTTTGGTCTTAAAATGTTTGGATTAACCCGCTCTACATGATCCTGAATTTTTTTTTTTTTTTTTGTCAAAAAAATCCTATTCATCATAACACAGAGCCTGGCTTCAGATTCGTTCTTGTAAGCGTTAGTATCGTGAGCCTCATTTGAACGGCGCTGAACGCTACGGGTAACGTCACACTCGCTTAGTCTACTTCTTTTATATACTTTGCTCTCCAAAGAAGAAGAAGAAGAACCTTAGATGAGCTGCAAAACGTATTTGATCAAAAAACTTTGGTCCAGTTGATAAAATTTAATTTCTCCTTTGCCTTTGTTGTCCAAATGTATTTTCTTAAACAGTGATATACGTAGGATATACGTAGGATATCAAAATCACTACATTATGAAAAAAAAAATTGCACTACTCCAGGGGTGTCCAAACGTTTTTTTTATCAAGGGCCACATATCTAAACACAGACGACACAGAGGACTGGTCGAGGGCTCAATACAGTGAATAATTGAAATATGTGCATGTTTAACACATAAGAATGATCCAACTTTATTCATGCTAAGATCCTTAAAACCACACACTAAATATTAAATATTAGCTTTATTAAGGTAGATTTTCAAAAAACTTGCAGCAAAATGTTCATTTTTAATTGATGCAATTCACCTGAAAGCCTGAGGGCCAAGAAAAATTTGTCTGAGGGCCGCATTTGATCCACAGGCCATAGTTTGGACATGGCTGCACTACTCCCTAGTGTGACATGCAGATCTCCATTGGAAAGTTACACGAGTCTTTGTTATGATGATGTTTTCAGCAGTGTCAGCTCCCACTGGGCACCACAGTTTTCTAATGATCCACGGGTGTCACAGATTCTAGTTATTCAGCAGACACAAGCACCACATGAACTCTTTAATGATAATAAAAGTAAGGTGATTATTTTTGAAGTAACTGAACTCATCCTTTGACCCCAGGCGAAGGAGTTCTTGAAGGAGCAGGCCTGGAAAAACCACTTCACCGAGTACGGCCAGGGCGTGTGTATGTACCGCACGGAGAAGACCAAAGACCTGGTGCTCAAGGGCATCCCGGAGAACATGAGGGGGGAGCTGTGGCTGCTGTTCTCTGGTGAGACACTCAAGTCAAACATTCAGCACTTTTTACACACACACACGTACACTATAGGTCAAAAGTTTTAGAACACCCACATTTTTTCCAGTTATTTATTGCAATTCAAGTCTTTTAAGTCCAATGAAGAGCTTGAAATGGTACAAAGGTAAGAACTGAACAGCCAGAGGTTAAAAAAAAAAAGATAAAAGAACAAAACACAAGTCGAAGCTCTGCCAAAACTACCTCAGCAAAAAAAGAACAAGATGCTGAACTTGAAAACATGGAGTGTCCAGCACAGACTCCAGACTTAAAGAGACAGTTCAGAATTTTGGATATAGGGCCTCATTTTCTAGTGAGTCAGAGTGTTGGAGACACTTTTTAAAATATTCCATCCAGTCCTTGTATTTGCAGAGGTCGCTGGTGCTGGGCTAGTGCATGTCAATGGCCATAGTTATCCTGCCACTAAAACAGTCTTACCCACTGCACAAAACACCCAAAGTAAATCTATTACTACACCAGACAGTCAATGTGAATGTCTGTGTTGATAGAATAATGCTTGAAATAAAACTAACCTTGCATCGCATGAATCGTCGCATGTTGAGGGACTATTGTATTTTCTGGGCTATTAGGCGCTCTGGATTATAAGACTCACTGTCATTAAATGGTCTATTTTCAAACTTTTTTCACAAATAAACCGCACCGGACTTTAAACGAAACACAAGAGTTCAATGGATCAGTTGGACTTTGTTTGGCGCGTTCACGGTGACTCTGGGCTTTGTTCAGTTGTGGCGTGTAGGGAGGGTGCTGTCTGGGACCGCTGGATTGTCGGCGTGTTCGCAGTGACTTGTGGCTAGAAGTGGCACATTGCACTCGCTTTTTCGGTTCGTTCCTCCGTTCCGTTCCTCGTCGGCGTGGAGTGATGAGTGTGTCTGTGGGTGTTTTTCGCCGCACGGTCTCTGTCTGTTCCGTGTGTGTTTGCGTGCGCTGCGGGTGGTGCGGCTTTGTAGTTTACTGAAGTCGTGCTGGGACACCTGAGTGGATTCGTGTATAGGGCGCTGTGGTTTGTGGGGCGTGCGGTCGTTTTTTGATGGGGTTGGAGGCTTAAGAGCGCGTCTAATAGCCCGGAAAATACGGTATTTTCTCATACATCAGTCCACCGTTGCCAAGCTTTCTATCAGGAAGTACAACTCGCTGTTGCTGCTCAGACATAAATCCTTCAAATGAAAGGTTGGTTTTACTTCTAAAATTATTCTATCAACACAGACATTCACATCGACAATCTGGTGTAATAATAGTTTTGCTTCGGGTGTTTTGTGGAGTGGCTAAGCCTAGCACCAGCGACTTCTACAAATACAAGGACTGGATGTAGTATTTAAAAAAGTGTCTCCACACGTCTCCAACACTCTGGTTCACTAGGAAATGAGGTCCTATGTCCAAAATTCCGAACTCTTTAAACCCCATCGAGCAGGTTTTGGTGCCGCAAGTGCCACACATTTATGGGAACTTCTGCAACAGACTTGGGAAGAACTTTCTGAAGAATATTTGATTTCGATTGTAAAATTAACAAGCCACGAGTGTGTTCAGCTGTTATATCTGCCAAAGGTGGACACTTTCATGAATCAGAAGTTTAGAATATGTTTTGGTATGTTTTGGTCGACAGTAAACCGTAAAAAAATGGAAAAAGTGTAGTGTTCTAAAACCAACTTCAGCCCAGACACACTCACACTCACATGACACTGACACAACAATAGGAAGTACTGGCAGCAAATGGAAATCTCCTGACGAGCACAGAGAACACACAGTGCCCAAACAATGTGGATAGATTGGTTAGGTTAACAAAAGATGACGACGATGATCATTTCTATGTAAGATAACGCCAGACTTTCTTGTTTAGAAGTCATACTCTTCGTCACCTCCACCTGATCCGACCAGGCCCCTCCCTCTGCCTCTCTCCTTTTCTCTACTGACACACTTCACACACTGTTGCCACGGAAACACTCATCTGGAACATTCCTCTGCTCCTCAGGGCGAGGACTGGTGCTTAATATTTAGTTTTTGGCTGTAAGACTCTTTCCCCCCCAAAGCACGAGGAGTTAAAAACCAGCCTGACAACATTCCCACCTGGCACAGCTCCGTGAATTAGGTCAACGGTGTGTGTGATCAAATTGTTCTCTATGGTGGAATGTTCAGCAGTTACCGTGGAGACAGTGGAGACACCGTGCACACATTAGCAAACACTGACAAAAACACTTTAAGATTGTGTAATGGCAAATAAAATATTGGGCTTTATTTAATCTTAAGAATAATTTTGGTTTATTGACTTTCTTAAAAAAAAGTAACACCTTTTTGATCCATCTTGTTTGTTAATCTCCTCATGTATTTACAGTATTTACAGGAAAAACAATCAGACCAAACAACTCTGTTTGAGACAGGGTTCACACTCTTTTTCAATGACAAAATTTCTATGACTTTTTCACAACCTAAAGTGAATTTTCCATGACTTTACAGCACCTACAACCTAGAATTGATCAGACTTTTAGGGATAAATATGAAATGTTAACCCTTTCCACTCACCTTATGGTTTGGTTTTAAAGTTTTTTAACATTCAAAATACTGTCAGTGCATTTATTGTCCAATCCAATTTAATTTCTATGGCACATTTCACACAAACAGTTTCCAAAGTGCTGCACAAATACATATACTAACAACAATAATAATATGATTAAAAAAAATAAACTACTAAAATAATACCAGTCTTAAAATAATAAAACCAGTAAAATAAAATAAGAACAAAATCATAGAATAGTAATAAAAAAATAAAACCAATACAAACACATTAAAAATAAATAAAAATAAGTAAAATAAATAAATAAACAGAGGACCACACAACTCACACGGTGTTAAAAGACAGAGAATAAAAGTGGGTCTTAAGACGAGACTTAAAACACTCCACTGTGGGGAACTGTTCGAACTTGGAGGGGCAGAGCGTTCCAGAGTTTGGGGCCAAGCAGAGGCGGGGGATGGGTCAGGGTACTGGTTCTGGTAGAGCGGGGCTGGTCCGGGCACTGGTTCTGGGAGTGCAGGGGTGGTCTGTCCCCCCTGGTTTTAAGTCTCGTCTTAGGCACCGAGAGCTGGAGTTGGCCCTCAGACCTCAGAGTTGTCTCCTTTAAACAAAAGTTGCAGACATTCAGAAATAATCATAATAGTGCAATGAGAACTTAACAGAACGCTGTAGTTGTTTGAAAGAGATACTAAAATTCCATGACTTTTCCAAAACTTTCATAGAATTTACAAAATTCCATGACTTTTCCAGGCCTGAAAAATGACATTTTGAGGAGTTCAATGACTGTGGGAACCCTGTTGAGATCTCTCTGTCTTGAAATGTAGCACACCTTGTATTGTTGTTGTTTTAATTCCACATGTTCATCTTGAGGCCAAATCAATTCATGACGTCATCAGGGGCTGCCTGGTCACACCTCATCATGTGACCCGCCCATTCACTTTGTAATGTTTGAGGTTTTGTCAGTCTTGTATAAATACTGGGAGCTTCGAGGTTCTGAAAACTTGGAGGAAGAGAGAAAACACTCAGAGAGACTTGTTTGCTGGCGGTCTTTGGTCCAGGTCCTGTCCTGACCATATCTGTTGCAACAAAGAATAAATCTGCTTTCTATTCCATAAATCACAAGGCTTTGGATAAATAATTTCCATGATAATTGTCTGAAAATTCAAGAAAAATGGAAAATTGATTTAAGCAACATATTTCCAGGAGCCTGTGATTAATATCAGTGTTCATGGTTCTGTTTAGGAGTTTGACTTTCAACAAAATGGTTGGAGTGACTAACAGAAAGGGGACAGTCCTCTATTTCCTCAGCCCTTATGTTCCCTTTTTTTTTTTATCTGTAAAGTTTTTCTCAAAATTAAACTCTAAGTCAAGTCATTTTTATTTTTATGCCGCATTTAAAGAGATGATTCAGAGTCATTTCAACTTAGGATCTTTTGCACCTCGACCTCTACTTTACATCTGTAGTCGACCGCTGCTGGAGAATAGTTTGGGTGTAATTGACGACCACATAGGGATAAGTGGGGATAAAAAGTGATGCAAATTGATGATAAAGGAATTGTGGGAACATAGGGCCTAATTTTGGAAAGAAAACAAAAAAAAAAACGTAGAAATGAGGAAACATTGAGGTGAGGGAAAAACTGAAAAACCGTTGACTAACTTGTGACTGTAATGTTATGTGTGAGAGACTTTTTTAACAGCACAAATCATCTCCGTTTTTGTAGCTGCAGCTAAATCATTCCTTTATGGTCAAACCGAGGTAAAATAAAGCTCAGATTAAAGTCTAACGTCACACCCCCAGGAAATGTGGATGACATCAGCTGCAAAGTATCAACAAAACAGCACGTGAACTTGTTTTGGAAAAGAAAACACATGACTAAGATTTACATTTTTAGACCTGCTTGGCGTCAATCTCTGCCTAACTGGATTCCTTTGAGTATTTGTACTACTGACTCATATTACGTAACACAAAACAGAAGCTAACCACTCTGCCACTGTGCACATCTAGCAGTTAATACAAATATACTCCAGTTCTGTCAATCACAATCATTTAAAGTTTGCCTGGGATTCAGAATACGCACACTGGAGCTGTGAGTTTGGTTAGTTTGGGCATCTGTGTATTTACTCGTTTTCAGGTGGGCGTGATTGACAGGTGGAGTAGCCAATCAGGGGCACGCGTGGTTTGTCCGTATCAAAACAAATACGGCAGCTTATGAGGAAAAACTTGGGAAAAAATATGATAAATGGACTGAAAAATATTGTAGATTTCTGTAGAATCAACAAGCGAAGCAGTAAAATAAATGAAATTGTGTTGTAAATTGTAAATTATTAGTGATCATTGAGCTCCATCTTTACCTGGTCCCCGAAGGGTTGACCAGGTTTTGTATTCACCGTGTGTCTGTGTCCACACGCGATAATTCTGTCATTTATGAATCGATTGTCACCAAAATTGGTACGTGGGTCAAGCCCCCGTGCCGGATGCCACAAAAAAAAAAAGTTTGGTGACGATCCGAGGTCATTTGAGGAAACACAGGTCAATTGAAAGGTCACACCATTATAAAGGATTGGCAATTTTGGCAATTTATGAACCATCTGCGGGCTAAAATATTCACCCAGTCATCACACAAGTTGGCACACACATAACCGGGGTACACTGGATGTTACAGGTTGAAACGGGTCAAGGTCACTTGAAGGTCAAGGTAACCAAGGTCAAATATGCGTTTTTGGTCATAACTCTGTGAAGGATCGAGCTCGAGCAATGGGAGTGGTCTCAAAATCTCAGAAAAATTATTATCTATTTTTAATTCTATGCATTGGTATTGTAAAATATTAATAGTTTTCGAGATAATCACTAAATAACAGTTCCTTTCTCTTTCAGTGTATGACGTTGAAACTCTAACTGGAATGAAATTAATTTCCTATTTCTTGTTTTTCTGGTGATACACAACACACTGATCTACAGTCACAGAACGAACATATACACAACTCATGAAGAATTACATTTTCATTACACGCTAGTAAACACAGACATTCTCATGTGTGACCAATATCACACAAATGTTCATGGGCCTGTACAGATACACACATTGCTTCACAACTTTATTTATAACGCACTTTAAAACAACACAGCTTGACCAAACAAATGCTGCTCAACAAATCAAATTTGGCCTGACTCTGGGGCGTGGGGATCAGACTGATATCAATCTGTATAAAACAGTTCAGACACATGTCATTCTGTCCTTGCCAGACCAATGTTATTTATATTTATTTAAGACACAGAATTGTATTTGTGTTTTGAAACCTACTGATGGAACCTATGATTGAAATTTATACTCAAAAACTCAGCTTTTGTTCCAGGCATTATTTAAAGGTGCACTATGTAACTTTACTGGAAAAGGGTCTGTCGCATGTAGATGGTTGTTGTTTGTTTCCTGCAATGTTCTACATCAGCTCTGTCAAAGTCAAATTCACAGAGGCCAAAATTTAAAACTGGGACTAAGTCATGGGCCAAACTAAATACTTATTGAAAATGTTCAACATCTGCATGTTTTCTCTTCTTTCGAGATATGTACTGTTAAACTTTTTATTATTAATATAAATGTTTAATAACAGTTTTGCTTAAACATTGAATCCAAAACAAGTATAATATAAAACAATAACAACATTTTAAATAAATAATGTCTCTATAGCCTGTCTATCTTATTTGATATGATCTCGCGAGACATATATAATTATATTGCTGGCCAAATTTGTCCCCAGGCGTGAGTCTGACATGTCTGTTCTACAGTATGGTATTTCAGATGAGAGGAGAAATGGACCCACTCGCTGTAAGAATACATGTCTTTACAGACTTTTAAGAAATAAAAACACTTGTAATTAACATAAAAAAATTAACAAATATAAGATATACAAGCTACTAGAGCAACAGCAGCTCAGTCGGTAGAGCGTTTGTCAACTGATCTGAAGAATGGCAGTTTTAATCCTACTCTCAACATAAAAAAAAAAAAACATCATTGGTTGAGCTGTCACTCCACTAACCCACAGGTTGAATGCTGCCGTTGTGTCCTTGGGCAAAACACCCATTGTCTGCGTACACTGGTGTGTAAATGCGTGTGTGGTTCCTTGTTATAAAGCGCTTCCAGTTCCTTGAAGGTGGAAAAACGCTGTATAAATATGTGATCATATATTTGCAAGCAGACAACAGACCCTCCACCAGAAAAGTTACACAGTGCACCTTTAAGCGGAAAACAAACATCAAAACAATACCAAAACTAACACGTCCAAAAACCTATTATGATTATACTACACTTCCCATTTTCTTACACAAAATAAGTTTTAATTTGTTTTTAAACTCACTAGAATAAAAGGTAAAATGTTGAATTTTGAGATGTAGTGATGATAATACAGGATTAAAGCTCACAAGCGTTAATTTTGCGTGATATATGGTCTTTAATTTGTCGGTAAATGAACCTCTCTTGTCTGTCTGTTTTTAGGTGCTATCAATGAAATGGCCACTCACCCCGGGTACTACGAGGACCTGGTGGAGAAGTCTATGGGTAAATATAACCTGGCCACAGAGGAGATCGAGAGAGACCTGCACCGCTCTCTGCCCGAGCACCCGGCCTTCCAGAACGAGATGGGCATCGCCGCTTTACGACGGGTGCTCACTGCCTACGCGTTCAGAAACCCCAACATCGGATACTGCCAGGTAAATACACTTTTGATCAAGAGAGTCTGGCCCTACCCCCACAGACCTCCAGGATGCTCCTCCAACGATGTTCCTCACCAGTTTTATTAGTTAACTCTGTTTTGAGGTCATGGTTTGGTTCATTTTCAGTACAGTATAGGAACAAAATGCCAAACCATTTTTATTAAGCCTACAATTTCTTTTAACATTACACAAACAGGAAAATGAAGTAAAGTGCTACTTGGTAATACTAATAAGTTAAACAAAATATTCTCAAATAAGCAACAAATGTATGAAATATAAAAAAATTAATTCCTTGTAAACAGTAAACAAAACTTTGCAAAAAGTAAAGCGCACCACTAACAGTTCCAGGATGAAGTTTTACACAATCTTCATATTTTTGGCCAGAAAAACCAACTTGTCCACATTGTCAGCAGTAAGTTGTGTTTGCAATTGATCCGTAATTGTGCCTGAACTGATTTGAAATGTTTAGTAACCATCGGTGTTGATGTATTGTCTTGAAAGGGAAAGGGGGGCAGATAACATAAGATTTCTCTTCTTTCTGCTCGTTTTCATTCATTTCTTGTATGTCTGATGTTGTGACACTCTCGATGTCTTTTTATACTTTATGAATAAATAAAATAAATAAAAATAATAATAAAATAAAAGTGCAAATCTGCTGGTAGTTAGAACATCCAAATGTCTCAAAATTACCTTTCGCGAGAGACAGAGGTTGCGGGTATGGCGAGAGAGGAGATTCTGTGTCGGGGAAACGTGAAAGTGAGGACTGCAGCGCGGCGACCGTAGTTTTTCAAGGATTCATGTGGTTCAGAGGGACGTAGTTAAGGCGGGGGGCAACTGTTGTCAAGGCAGCCGCCCTAACTGTAAAGCGCAGCGGGAAACATTGCCACCTCAATCATGGACAAGTTTCCCCGTGAATATTAAAGAGCCGAGTCTTCTGTGTAGCTGCACGTGTAGTGGCGGAATGTAAACATACACAGATTGCACAAACTCACTCATGCACAGCCCTGCACCGAACCGAACGTCCTGTACGGAAACGGTTCAGCATGAATGAACATGAACCGTTACACCCCTAATTATAATACATAGCACTTGTATACTGCTTTTTATGACACTCAAACACACTTCACATAGATCAAGACAGACACAAATACAAATGTAAGAAACAGATAAACAGGACATGCAGTTTTAAGGCAGTTTTTGCTTTAATTCGCTATTAAAATTTATTAGTAGCTCATTTTTATTTTTCACTTATTAGCACTTCAAAGATTGTACATTTAATCCCTGATATAATTCTAAAAGTGTCTTAATTTTAAAGCAACAGGTATGAAGTTAGGTAAAGGAGTTGGTCTCATTTTTCGTGTAAATTAATATTAAATCCATCCATTTTCTTCCACTTATCCGAGGCCGGGTCGCGGGGGCAGCAGTCTAAGCCGGGACTCCCAGACTTCCTTCACCCCAGACACGTCCTCCAGCTCCTCCGGGGGGACGTTTTTCTTGTAAAATAATATCATCTCTCGTAATGTTACATCAAAAACAGCGGCCAGGAAAAGAGGAGGAGGACTTTGTGGGTCTTTTAGGGACGTGTGAGTGGACGCAGGTCACGTGAGCGTCTGTGTGTTGTGTCATCTTCACTTTTCTAACTCTTTTTCTAACTGCTCCAACAGGCCATGAACATCGTGACCTCGGTGCTGCTGCTGTACTCCAAAGAGGAGGAGGCCTTCTGGCTGCTGGTGGCGCTGTGTGAGAGGATGCTGCCGGACTATTACAACACCAGGGTCGTAGGTCAGTCTGAACATGGTCTACACACAGGCTTCATCGACTCTGGCTCCAATTGACTTTACACAGCAAAATGATCAAATGCCTCGTCATTCTGATCTCTAGTTTCTTTTCCTAATATGGAACTCAGCTCACTTAGTCCACTTCTTTAAACGGTCAATGGTCCTGCATCCGTTCCATTGTGGTGACTGGGAGACTGTCTGCTCCTGTGTTTTCTTAAGTGCAGGTCTTGTGACAAACTGTGGTCATTGTTCTGAGGCTAATGGACACGTGATAAGCTGCATCCTAATGAAAATACAAGGAAGAATTACTGTACTGCAATAAGTTAGATCAGTACTTATTTCAGTATTTTTATTGTACTTAACAGCTAAGTTGGAGCATACTCACTGAAGTACTCATTTTTTTAAAGCTCGCCCATAGTACTTACACATTTACAAAATAACATACCAAATAATAATGCTGTTTACAATACCATGATGATTTTTATATTTCTTTGTACTTGCCTGGAGACGTAAACCCTCAAGACATTGTGATTAGGGCTGGGTATCATTCAGAAGTTGCCCATACGATACATATCTCAATACAGTGCGCTTATGATTCGATATGATATATTTCAATTGGATTTGATAAGGTTCAATAAAAAATAAAAGCTAAATCATGGCTGTGATACTAAAAGTCTTTGTTAAACCACTTCTTGTGCAAAGTTCATATGAAACACAAACATTTTACTCATCAGAACAGTGAAAATGTCAAATGTGTCACATAAATGAGTTTCCTTCCTCTAAACAAGCAGCAAAACTGCAGCTCTGTAACAAAATAATTTTGTAAAATATACCAAAAAAATGCTCTTGAAGATATACCGATTCAGCAGCCTATGACATCGATGCTGTATCCTCACATTAAACGATACGATATATTGATATTTCAATAGTTTTGCACACCTCTAATTGTGATAGTGCAGCCCAGTCTTCTGTTGTAGGGAGTATTATACCTATAATGATGCATTCTACACACTACATATATAATTTAGCAAAGCAGTGCAATTCCTCAAACATTCTGCTATGACAAGGTCAAAGTTTACTTATAAAGCACGTTTAAAACACAGACACATTAAAATTACTAAATAGTACAAAACGGTGGTAAAATGCAAAAAGCAGAACATTGTGTCAGTGCAAAAAAGTGAGTTTTAAGTAAAGACAAAAAATGTCTGAGATAGAGGGAATGTTTAAAGGAAGTCAGGCCCGTCTGTTTACAATTCATCTCCTCTATATAGATTTTTATTTTTTATTTTTTTATCACACTTACATTTACACTTGTTTACAGAGCTTGTTTAGATTAAAGTGCATATGACAGATTTTCATGATTCTCTAAATTTGACTTAATTTGGAGGGATTATGACTATTGTAAATATAAATTATAGTTTTACACCAATCAAGAAGCAATGCGAAGAATTAGAGGAGGTTTTTTTTTTTTTTTATCTAGGTAAACAGTTATAGAATGTGAGGCCACGATTTCTTAGTTTTGCTGGCGCCACCTAGTGCCTCCACTCAATTTCAGTTCTCTTCAGCGACTAGATCAGGAATCAGAATACACTAGACGGTTTGCAAGAATACCACGGAAGTGCGAGTTCGGGCACCAGCCAATCAGCGAAGAGCCATATATTCTGTGTTGGCAACGATTCCCAAGATCGAGGATTTAAAGCCGGAACAAAGAGAATATTCTGTGAATTTTATCAAGGGAAAAGACGTTGCCCTTCTTCCTATGGGATTTGGGAAAAGATTAATATACCAGTTAGCCCCGTTAGCGGCACATTACATACATCACGACCAAATAGCAGCGCTTGGTTAAGTAAAAAAAGCACCTGCCTACCGTTGAGCGAACGAATCCTAATGCTGCAAGGTCAAACCGTTTCTAAGAAGTGAAACCGGCTGATGAATCAGGCTAAGGATTTCCAGCCAGGCAGTAAAATTTAAAATGCTAAAAAAACAAGTGTATGTACAAGTATTTTTGCTAAAATCTTAAAAATTATGATCTTAACTGTGTTTTAGTAAAATTAGTAATCTAAGCTGTCATAGGCACTTTAAGTTTGCCTTGGTTTCATTCAGCTCATAAAAACACTCACCTCTTTATGTTGTATATATTTTCTCAGGCGCTTTAGTGGACCAGGGCGTGTTCGAGGAGCTGGCTCGAGAGTACGTGCCGCAGCTGTACGACTGCATGCAGGACCTGGGGGTGATCTCGACCATCTCTCTGTCCTGGTTCCTCACCCTGTTCCTGTCCGTGATGCCGTTTGAGAGCGCCGTGGTGGTGGTCGACTGCTTCTTCTACGACGGCATCAAAGTCATATTCCAGCTGGCTCTGTCTGTGCTCCACGCCAACATCGACCAACTGCTGGACTGCAAGGACGACGGAGAGGCCATGACGGTGCTGGGCAGGTACGAGAACACGGGTTTTGGGATTTGTTATCACTTCGAATAAGCTTAAAGTTGCTCTGCGTAACTTTTTAAATGGAGGTGGCCATCTGCTTACGTCCATGGAGATGTTACTGCTTTAGAATTTTCCACAGTTTTGCTTAAAAAATATCCATCTTTCATTTACTTCCTTACAAGTGTTTTGCCCTTTACTGTGAACGGGGTCAGCTCTCCACAGATCTGACCTGTAACTTCTTGTCTCCATGGTGACAGGTACATTTAATGCCATTCTGTGGACCATACAGGCAAAGTAATAACATCTCCATCGAGACAACAAGGTGACGGACCCTTCACCAGAAAATTACGTAGAGCACCTTTAAGTCTGTACTACATGAAAAAAAATAAAATAAAAAAGATAATACGATCACACGAAAATGGCTACAGGACAAACCTCCTACTATTTGAAAATGGGCTGAAATAATCAACAAAATTCAGGTTATCTAACGAATTATGAAACATTTTCCTTGAAACACTGTATTGGAAAAAGTGGAAATTTTAGAATCAAAACAAAGACTAATGTAATTTTTTATACACCTTTGCAGATGTCACTTGCTTGATGGCCTCCTATTTTATTTTAATTTTATTTTAAATAATTTTTGGGTTGGGTTGGTCTGACGATTTATTCTGTTCTACAATACTACTAATTTGTGTATGTCAGTAGGTGATATACAAAACTAAAATGTTCTAATAAAAATAAAGTTTAAAAAAATGATTGACGCTTTATGCACCTTGTTCCACTTTTTTTTTAAAAACCTCAAAAGTGAAATAAATCCACAGAGAGCGATACAAGTGCCTTTAAAAACTCTTTACTGAGTATTCACATATAATTAAGGACATACAAAACGTGCAGAAGGGGAACTTTAACCAAAAACTGTTTGGCTCCCATGGTGCGTCTTAAATAAGGAGCCATAGACTGAAAAATAATACAAAAAATAAACATTACTTGGGTAAAGTTATGATTAACATTTGCGATAATTAACTGGAAGAAAAATGTAAATAGATGAAATTATTTTTAAGCAAATAATCAACTGATAATCATGTTAACCATAAAAAAAAATACCAAAATTACCAAAAATCATGCATTTTAAGCAAAGTTTAAATCAAACAAAATAGGAATAATTATCTCAGTAATGAAAATATTACAAAAATTATGAAATTGGGTTGAGGCTCCAACATATGACATGAAACATTTTACTACTATGAAAGGGGGTATTATGCAAAATCATCATTTTTTTTAAGCTTTCTACCATATTATAACCTTGTTCCCTCATCAAAAAAGTGCCTGAAGGGGTTGTAAGATGTCATCCATGCATGTTTGAGCAATTTAGTGATCTCCCCTGGGCCCTGTTCGAGCTCTCCTTATGTTTAGCTGTAAGATTCTGTGCAATGCTCAACTCACAAGCCTACGTCACCCATGCTCCCGCACGACAATTATCCATAATTATACAAAAACATTAAACAAAACTGTGCAGAGCAACTTGACAAACCTGGTGCGATGTGCAGTAGTTTCATTAGCTGATTGTGCTGTGATGACGCTCTGAAGGGGAGTGACTTAACACAAAGAGCAAAGGGAAACTTAAAACATGTCAGTATGTTCTTTTTGGCAAATATTGCATTTTCAAAACAATAAAAGGTGATCTAAATATGTTATGTGTTTGCAGTTAATACCCCATAGAAGTAAAATAACCCCTCTTTAATATGATTGCTTTTATTTCTTTGGACAATTAGTTGTATTAAAACATCTCTATGATTATTTTAAGAGTTCCCATCATAAATTATTATAAAATCGTTCATCTTTTCTGTAGGTATCTGGACAGTGTGACCAACAAAGACAGCACCCTGCCCCCCATCCCTCACCTGCACTCGCTCCTCACCGACAACGGAGAAGCCACATCCAGAGGTCGACATCTTCAAACTCGTCCGCAGCTCCTACGAGGTACGAACACCGACGAGGAAAGCTGTTTTATAAGACAAGTTCAGTGGTGGAAGAAGTTGGTTATTTAAGTTAAAGTACAGATATCAGAAATACTCAAATAGAAGTATCACATGAGAAATTTACCGTTTTTTGGACTATAAGTCGCACTTTTTTTCATGGTTTGGGTGTTTCCTGCAACTTATATATTAAAATGTTCACACTGACAGCAGCGAGAGGCTCTAGGCTTGTGTGTTTGTATCTGCTGCTCCTGTTACTCCTGTATCACTGTCACTTCGCACTCTACTGAGCATGTCTCCTGTAGAAATAGCCGCTGTCTCGCTGCAAATAGTGAAATATTCAGCCAAAAATGGTAATCGAGCAGCAGAAAGAAAGTTTGGAGTGAGAGAGAAACTTGTGATTGACTGGCAGAAAGCGGGGATGGAGAACACTTCACAGCTTCACGGCAACCGGGAGGATGCACCATGCAACTCTCCTGGAAGTCACTGGATGAATCGACAAAGCCTGAACTTAAATGACAATCAAAACCATCCTGTCAGGATCCAGAAAGAGCGGAATAGTTCTAACTGGAGCGGATGCCGAGTTTGACGACAGCTACACAGCAGAGGGAAAGGCGCACTGTTTACATCATGGATCTATGCTTTATCTCTGGTCTCTGATTTTACAAAATACGTTTCCCCAAATAGACTTATATATGTTTTTTTCTTCTTCATTGCGCATTTTTAGCTGGTGCGACTTATACTCCAGAGCGACTTAACAGTCCGAAAAATACAGTACTTAAAAGTGCACTATGTAACTTTTTGGTGGAGGGTCCATCAGCTGCTTGTCTCCACTGAAATGCTGTTGCTTGCAAGGAATATTCCACAGTATGGCATTAGCCGTATCTATCTCTGTAGACACAAGCAACTGGCCGCAGAAGGAAATGTTAATTCTGTGAAAAGCCTCACTTACCAGGGATGGACTGGGATCAAAAACCGGCCCTGGACTTTTCCCCCATGAGTCAGGTCCGGGGTCGATGGGCGTGTAGTATTATTATCGTATTACTGCCCTCTGCTGTTAGTACGAACGCACAGATTGCCAGTCCGCCCCATCACTCACAGTAAATGCATGTTTTTTCAACATATTTTTGAGCGACATCTCAGTAAAAGCAAAATAGATGCATTTAATGTCATACTGTGGAACATTCTAGACCAGACATGTCAAACACAAATTTGGACCGCAATATAATTATATTTGGCCCGTGAGATCTTATCAAATATGTATTAGAGCTGCCCGCCGGCTACAGATAGACTACAGAGACATTATTTATTTAAAATGTTGTTATTATTTTATATTATGCTTGTTCTGGACTCAATGTTTAAGCAAAACTATTACTAAATATTTATTTTAATAAGAAGGTTTAACGTTACATATCTTGAAAGTAGAGAAAACACGGCTTAGTCTCAGTTTTTAATTTTGCCCTCTGTGAATTTGAGTTTCTCACCCCGTTCTAGACAAAGTATTAACATCTTGATGAGAACAAACAAGTGACAGACCCCTCCTCAAGTATTACAGTAAACATACTTCTTTAAAAATGTTTAAAAATGTACTTAAAGAGTAAAAAGTAAAAGTATTTTATAGGTCTAATGAAGCTTCAAATATATTGAGTTTGATAAAAAAAAATTTTGCAGAATTTTGTTTAACAGATACAATTGAATAGATTCTTTTTTTCTAGCTGTTTTTATTTGTATATTTTTGTTTGGTCCAACTACAAATGTGTTCAAAATAAATCCTCAACCTTTCCAGCAGTTCCCAAACAATAATAAAAAATACTTTTACTTTTCAGTGCTGTTCAAAAATGTAGTGGAGTAGAAAGTACAGATACCTGCTCTCAAATGTAGAGAAGTAAAAGTAAACGTTTAATCCACTTTAAATGTACTCAAATAAAGTACAGCCATCTAAAATGTATACTTAAATAGTGCTTTACTTTACTTTTACTTTGTTACGTTCCACCACAGGCCAAGTTACACACCGACATGTTCCTAATGTTGTTATTATTATTTATGTTTTGACAGAAATTCGGATCAATCCGCGCTGATGTGATTGAGCAGATGCGTTTCAAACAGAGACTCAGGGTGATCCAGACCATTGAAGACACGACCAAACGCAACGTGGTAAGAGACCCGGAGTCCTGTCGATTTGAGCTACCGAAGCAGAAGTGGAGTAAAAGTGTTTTGGTTTTATTGTATGTTTTGACCAGTTAAGCAACGACGTGTGTGTGTTGGATTTGTTTCAGAATACCTACCTTGGAATTAATATTTTATTTTATCGTTATCATTTTCATTACATCGTATTTTATTTTGTTTCCATGTGCGCCGTATAAATAAAAGATCACTATATTATAATAGGAAATTCACACTGCAGCCTATGATATTTATTTAATATCAAGATTTCAGTGTTTCTACTCATTTCTTTCTCTTATATAGTGGGAACATTATTTGATAGAAGATATAGGCCTGTCGAAATGAGCTACCTCTACCCAAATTCATATAAATGGGTAAATAATCGTGATTCTACAGTAGGAGCATTATTCAATGGCTAAATTGGCCTGTCGATATGTGCTACCTTTAGTTCAGAGCCCTGTTTGAGCATTATACGACAGCCGAAATGAACTACCTACGCATATTTATATACATGAGATGAAATTGTACATAACTAAGGTATAAAGTCTGGTCACCGTGTACAAACAGCATCAAACTCTCTGACTCTAATCTAAAGAAATATGTTGTGAAACTGGAGAGGTTCGCTTTATTGGATCTGTACAACTGTACACGGAAAAACTGTGACTTTTTTTTAAGCTTTTTACCAAGTTATAACCAGTGTTGAGAAGGTTACTTTTAAAATGTATTCCCCTACAGATTACAGATTACATACCCAAAATGTAGTTTGTAATGGGATCCATTAAGTTACTTAAAGTGAGTTACTTGATTTGCTGTAGAGAAGCAAAGACGAGGAAATCGTAACATAAGATGTTTTATCTGATAAAAGACAATAAAAAGCCCAGACTTTACTGAACCAAATTAAAAATATTATTGATAGAAGACGAGGAGACACGGTCCACACAGCATGATTTAGTCCTGTTAAATCCTGTTTGAGACACAGTTTAGACCTGGTTTTGTCCTGGTTTAGACCTGGTTTAGTCCTGGTTTAGTCTTGGTTTAGACCTGGTTTAGACCTGGTTTGGATCTGGGTTTAGACCTGGTTTAGACCTGGTTTTAGACCTGGTTTTAGACCTGGTTTAGACCTGGTGTTAGACCTGGTTTAGACCTGGTTTAGTCCTGGTTTAGTCTTGGTTTAGACCTGGTTTAGACCTGGTTTGGATCTGGGTTTAGACCTGGTTTTAGACCTGGTTTAGACCTGGTTTTAGACTTGGTATAGTCCTAGTTTAGTCTTGGTTTAGACCTGGTTTAGACCTGGTTTGGATCTGGTTTTAGACCTGGTGTTAGACCTGGTTTAGACCTGGTTTAGACCTGGTTTAGTGTCCAGCAATGAGTGGAATTACCGGAAGAAGAAGAAAAAAAAAAGGGGGGGATATAGCCCAAAATGTGAAAACAGGAAAATACCGCTGTGTAATCCATTTATTTCAACAAAGTAACTGTAATCCAATTACCACTCACTGAAACAGTAACTGTAACTGAATACAGTTACTCATAATTTGTACTCTGATTACGTAACTCAAGTACATGTAATCTGTTACTCCCCAACACTGGTTATAACATTGTTCCGTCACCAAAAACATGCCTGAAGATGTTTTAGATGTCATCCATGCATGTTTGAGTTTAGTTTAGTCATTTAGTGATCTCTCCCGCTCTGAAGGGGGAGTGACTTAGTGGGGGGAGATATAGATAGAATTTTCAAAACAATAAAAGGTAACATGTCGATCTTAATATGTGCGTGTTGTGTTTCAGGTCAGAACTATCGTAACAGAAACTGCCTTCAGTATTGACGAGCTGGAGGAGCTTTATGTACTTTTCAAGGTAATTTCACTTGTTCCTTAATGTTTCCTTTCCATGCTTCTGCAGTGAGGTATTTATAGCAGCCGCTGTCATTTCGTTATCTCCTTTAATTTGCTTTACTTCATAAATACTGCATGAACTTCCTGTTAATGAATCTAATTATTCAACCGTGAAAATGCCTTACAGCTGTTGTCCATAAGGCTTTGTTATCGCAGACTCACAGATGCTTCTTCTAATTGCTTTTTAGCGACTTTGCCCCTGGTTTATGTCGCTGATTTACATTTAAACATATTTATTAAAAGTGCACAAAGAAAATAATTAAATCTTAAATAAATAAAATAAAAATACCATACAAGATTGGCAATAATAGTGTGTCTCTTCCGTAGTTTCTTCAGTTCTTGAGCAAAGCGTTACTTGGATTAGAGCAAAAGATAAATTCAGTTCACTCGACTGGATAAAAGTTTTTGAGTTTTAGAGTGAAGTCGATTTGCTGTGAAACGTTTTCACTCTATAGAGCTTTTGTCTGGTTAATGGAATTGAACTTTTCTTTTGTTGTGGCTCAGTGGTGAGAGGTTGGAGGATCAATTCCTGTTTGGACCAAGTTCTGTTATTAGGGCTGGGTTTCGTTAAGAAGTTGCCGATACGATACACACCTTGATACATAGGTCACGATACGATATGTTTTTCGATAAAGTGCACTTTTAATTCAATACGATTCTATACGATATATTTCAAATCCATTTGATACAGTTCTGTGAAAAACAAAGGCTAAATTGTCACTGTGATACTAAAAGTCCACTAAATTTGTGCAAAGTTAATATGAAAAACACCCATTTTACTCAAAACTGTGAAAATCAACACAACTGTAGCTCTTACTCATTATTATTTAGTAAAATATACCTAAAAATACTCTTGGTAATATATCAATACAGCAGCCCACGATATCGATACTGTATCATGGCGTTAAACGATGATATATTGATATTTTGATATTTTTGCACATCCTATCTGTTAATGTTGTTGTGCTGTTGTCCTTGAGCAAGACACTTCACCCACATTACCTAGTATTAAAGTGGTGAGTTTGTGAGTGATGGTGGTGGTCGAAGGGGCCGATGGTGCAGAGTGGCAGTCTCGCTTCTGTCAGTCTGCCCCAGAGCAGCTGTAGTACGATACCACCACGGGTCTCGAGTGAATGAATAAAGAGTATAGTGGAGAGCAGGGGTGGCCTTTTTTTTTTTAACATGAGGCCACATGAGGAAAAGAAAATATTGTGGAGGGCCGGGCCAAAATGTTTAACTTAATACTGCATAATATTAATTTATTAAAAGCAGTAAATATCATTGTTTTGTCAAGCTGGTCAGACTGGTAAGAGTTTATGTTATGACTAAGCAATGAAAAAGTGAGGCTGCCTTAAAAAAAAACACCTCTAAAATAAAACCAATGCAGCTTTAGTCCACGTATGAGGTAAAATTATAAAATATGTTTATTTTGTAATTCTAAATGAGCTTAAACCGGCCGGTCAGAGGCAACCAAAAGGCCGTATGTGGCCCAGGAGCTGGACAATGCCCAGGTCTGGTGTAGAGCTTTGAGAGTCAAGTCAAGTCATGTCGACAAGTCTGAAAAGGACATTACAAAGTATTTTTTATTGTGTTGTTATTATTACCTGAACAACTGAGGAATTACACAGATACTTGGATGTAAGTAAATAAGTAAAAACTACATTGTGCTACTAGTTCTTAACAACACGTTTATTACCATCCTATCCTACTGGTGCCCAGAGTCAGGACTAAACAAGGGGAGTCAGCGTTTCAGGTTCATGCAGCTAAAACCTGGAACAGTCTGAACATGTGAGACAGACTCTTCTGTGACGCTGTTTAAATCCAGGCTCAAAACATTTCTGTTTAACTGTGCATATAACTGAAAGGTTTTCATTCCGCACTCTTCTCTCCAATTTATGTCTCTCTTTTTTTATTTTAATCTTCATGATTATTTATGTTTTGATTTGTTTTATTATGATTTTAATGTATTTCTTATTCTGTAAAGCACTTTGAATTACTTTGTGTACGAATTGTGCTATACAAATAAACTTGCCTTGCCTTGCCTTACCAAAGGCTTATTAGAATCATAATTCATGAACAAAAATGGCTTAATATCAAACTAATAAGAAGTAATAAGGAGTGTATTAATAGAAAAGTGTTTGTAAATGTCGAACTAATAGGCAAGGCAAGGCAAGTTTATTTGTATAGCACAATTCGTACACAAAGTAATTCAAAGTGCTTTACAGCAGAATAGCAGAATAAGCTTATGGGGAATTAGACATTAATAATGTAGTTAGATGTTAATAAGTGTACCCTAAAATAAAGTGTTACAGCAGCTTTTCTGGTCTATCATCTGCTTGTTTCTGTGGATATGTCATCGCACTGCCTGGAACGTTTCACAGTGTGACTTAAAACAGCTCTACTTTACATTTCGGCCCCTATCAGCAAGCATATCGGCCGATATGCCTCCAGGTGCCCATATCGGCCAACCTATATATCGGTCGGGCTCTAGATCTGACTATATAACTTGGTCTGGTTTGGTCTCCATGAATGTCATACTGTGAAACATTCCAGACAAAGTAATAACATCTCGATGAAGAAAAGCATCTGACGGAGCCTCCACCAGAAAAGTTTCACAATGCATCTTTAAACGCTCTTTTGCTCTGGACCCACCTGGAGAGATAACACAGACATATTTCTTATCAGTTAAGTTGAGAGAATTTATTTGTTTTCGCATCTCTTCCAGGCGGAGCACCTGACCAGCTGTTACTGGGGCGGGAGCACTAACCCCACAGAGCGACACGACCCCAGCCTGCCGTACCTGGAGCAGTATCGCATCGACATGGAGCAGTTTAAGGCGCTGTTCACCCTCCTCTTCCCGTGGGCCAACGGGGCGCACTCGGACCCTCTGGCCGTGCGCTTCTTCCGCCTCCTCGACCACAACGGAGACGGCCTCATCAACTTCAGGGAGTTCATCACCGGCCTGGGTAAAAAATCATGACAAATATGAGTCTTTGTGGTGTGATTGTTGTATTTAAATGTTTTAAAATGGCTGCTGTTGTGATTGTAGGGGTGCTGTGTCACGGGGACCTCACTGAGAAGCTAAAACTGCTCTACAAGTTACACGTGCTACCAGGTATATAGGTTTTTTTTGTGTGTTTGTTGACAAAAATTGCTTTAAAATACAGTTGGTAGATGAAGAACTGTCTATGTTTGCCACCATGAAGATCTTACTAAAATGCATTTTAAAACATTATTATTATTATTATTATTATTTTGGACGTTAAGAGCGAGGACACCAGAGAAAGTGAGACGAGGATATGAGGAGGTCTGAAGAGACAACGCAGACAGGCCGTGGCAAACCCTACGTAATTTTAAAACTATATCGACCTTCAGATAAAAGTGAAACAGTTTGATCCAGCTACATTTTTTTCTTTCTAGATGCAGACTTAGACAAACTTTATTGATCCACAAAGGAAATTATTTGGACGCAGTAGCTCCCACATCACAATATGATGATAACGATAATAACAAAGAGTAAAAAAAGAAATACATTCTAAATAAATAATTAATTCTGAATAGTTATTTGTCACATAAGGGTGAGTTGTTGTACAGTTGTAGGGAGTATTATCTGTTACATAAGGGTGAGTTGTTGTACAGTCGTAGGGAGTATTATCTGTTACATAGGGGTGAGTTGTACAGTTGTAGGGAGTATTATCTGTTACATAAGGGTGAGTTGTTGTACAGTTGTAGGGAGTATTATCTGTTTACATAAGGGGTGAGTTGTTGTACAGTTGTAGGGAGTATTATCTGTTACATAAGGGTGAGTTGTTGTACAGTTGTAGGGAGTATTATCTGTTACATAAGGCTGAGTTGTTGTACAGTTGTAGGGAGTATTATCTGTTACATAAGGGTGAGTTGTACAGTTGTAGGGAGTATTATCTGTTACATAAGGGTGAGTTATTGTACAGCTGTAGGGAGTATTATCTGCTACATAAGGATGAGTTGTTGTACAGTTGTAGGGATTATTATCTGCTGCATAAGGGTGAGTTGTTGTACAGTTGTAGGGAGTATTATCTCTCACTAAATCTCACTAATCTCTTTTTCTTCTCTTGCAGATATACCAAATGAACAGGATGAGCCGGACTCTGCCTTTGAAGCTACGCAGTACTTTTTTGAAGACATCACTCCAGAAACGTCAATGAGTACGTTTTCGCAGTACTGTTTCACTGCAGTACAAGTTACTACTTTAACAACTCCTACAGCTCTTACACTTACACTTAGTCATTTTGTAGTCACTGAAATGTTGTTGTTGTCAAAGTAAGACGTGTGCACATGTAACCACAGCCCTATCAGCAGACTGCAGCGCTGCCACAAAGCCACAATAAGAGCCGTATCTGGGTTACAATAGATTATAAGTGGAAGATAAAAGTCTGAATCGTGTTCTTTATATTCACAGTGATAAAATAGGGAATGTACTTTGAAAATACTTAATAATAGCTGCTAGAGTAATCGATCTGCTAGTGATGTTTTCAAGCCAGTTTATGATAATGTGGTTCCAAACTGGGTCATACTCCAGTTACATTGTTTATGAGGCAGGAAATAAAGCGAAAAGGCCCAGATAAATAAGGTCAAAGAAAGTGTTTATGCACAAAGAAATCTGAAATCACCAACGTCTGATTTGTTTTGTTTGTGTTGATTTTGTTTTTTCAGGTCAGGACTCCAGGTGCAGAAGTGAGAAGGACGACGGTTTTGTTAGAGTCACCTTTAAGAACGAGAAAGGTGAGAGGATTTTCTATCAACTTTTAATGCAATGGGCTGACATAATATTTAAAATGTAATTGCATTTTTTTTTATCTTGAATTTGTAATACAGCTGACATTTTTAAAGGTTGTATGAAGGATTGTTTTTTAGTTTCAAATTGTCAATGAAAGCTTAAAATGCCATTACAGAGACGCATCAGCCTTGTAATTATGTTGATTAAAAAAAAAAAGAATGAAAATCTATCAACTGTGGACATAGTGAGGGCAGATAAACATCAGCCAATAGATAACAAGGCTACCTCATTTTCTATTGGCTGTTCGGTTGTCAATCAAACTCCCTATGTTTTTAGTGTAACTGACTCGCAGGCGCGCGGGGATTATGTGGTTTATGCAGCAGTTCTTAGAGGCTTTTTTCAACTATAGTTTCCTCGCAGATCCCACAAAGTTTGTTGAGATGGTTGACAAGAATCCACGACCAGTTCGTTGCAAAAGAAAGTCTGAGGTCGTTGAAAGAAGAAGAGAAGAAGAATAGGACCAAAGCCAGACACGTGATTCTTGGAGATCTCTTCCAGCGATTGTGAAGCAGATAAAGGGTCTAGAAACTGATGTGTCAGTCGCTAAATTATTTCTAGACAGGTCACTTCATCATTAATTCTGAACACGAACTGGATGTAAACAAGCATGATTTCTAGAGTAAGGATGCGAGAGGAGATGTTTCTACTGAGGGAGCTGTGCAGGAGGAAGGGGGTGTCATGCATGCACAACATTTGAAAAAGGACTGTCGCTGTATTTCTCTTCCCTTTAAAAAAAAAATCTCTACATAACCTTTAAGCAAAAATAGACAAAATCTGACACAATACCACTACATAGTAACAGTGATTAGCCTTTTAGTTGAATCAGAGGTTAAAGGTAGTATTTATTTATGTGGTTATTTTTGGGTAAGTTCGGTTTAAAAGCTCTATTTAAAGGTCTTATTTTACGCAATATTGATTCTTGTAAACTCCCTGTATTACCACATGGCATCACAAGGTGGAGTGTTTTCAGCTTTAGACAAGAACTCAGCCCAAATATTCAGAGTTTGTGTGTTAAACATGAAACAAAACACAACTCCAGGTCTGTTTGTGATCAGAAAACAACATTATAACATAGATCAGAAAATAATTCAATGGGCCAACATAATATTTAATTTCATCACACTATATGTTTTCATTTTTACTATTGTTTGTAATAGATTTTGACATTTCTATGAAAAATAGGCAACATCCCATCCCGTATGATGTGCCAAAATACAAAACCTCAGTAACAGTGATAAGAAATAACAGCCTTTAGTTGAATCGTTAGTTGAGGTTAAAGGTAGTATTTATTTATGTGGTTATTTTTGGCTTAGTTCTGTTTAAAAGCTCTATTTAAAGGTACTATTTTACGCAATATTGACACTTGTAAACTTTAAGTCATGTCAGAATGTTGTCACCTCATCAAACACATACCCGATTTTACGCTTTGCTTCATTTGAGTAACAATTTAATAGTACTTTGAATGCATCGCCAAAGCTTAAAAAGCTCTGTTCCACCTTGTGATGTCAGGAAACGGTAGCAAAAGTATGTTTTGGTTTGTAGAAATGGGAAATTCCTTGGCTGAAATTATCCAAATGATTCTAGTGAAGATGTATGGAGTTTAAAAACACAGTGGAGCACTTCCTGTATTACCACATGACATCCTAAGGTGGAACAGTGTTTTCAGTTTGAGAGAAGAACTCAGCCCAAATATTCAGAGTTTGTGTGTTAAACATGAAACAAAACACAATTCCAGGATATTTGTGAATGAAATGAAACACAACTCAGTTTTTTTTATAACATAGATCTGAAAATAGCACAAGATTTGCCCTTTTAGATTAAAGTTACATAAGATACATGCACCTTCATATAAAAGATTCTGATCTAACTGTGTCATTGTATTTTTGTTCTGTTTTTACACAGTGAAAAAACTGAACCCTCCAGACTACCGCCACTACCTGAAACTATGGAACCAGGAGTCACGCTCCAAAGTGGAAAACACCAAAGACTTGCCTAAGCTTAATCAGGTAAGATTCAACTGTCAAAAGTATCAAAATCAGATAATAATCGATACTAAAACTAGTACCGAAACTAGATACTCATTTGAGCAGGAACCGATACTGAAAATTCACACGACAGTGGCTTAGTTGGTTGAGAGTTTGTCCACTGAGGAGAAGGTTGACAGTTTGAATCCCTCTCTGGACATAAACATCATAAACCTTTTTCACAACAGCTGGAAGTGCAGCGATGTAGGGTAAACGTCACTTCTGACTAAAGCTTTTTCTTTGCTAATGCTTGAACCATGTCGCTTTTGTTTCTGGTTCTGATATTGTCATATTTTAGTAATGGGATTCGAACATCGTAATTGTGTGGTTGTTGGATGTTGGCTTCGGACGCTTGCGAACTTCATAACTGCAAAAAGGAATCAGATGTGACTGCAAACCTCTGTTCACACTGTTTACCTTCCCAACGGAATTGAAAAATAGTGAAAGACGAAGGCTATGGGCAGTATTGATCCACAGAAAGGACCAAAAAGGGAAACCTTTGACTGCCTAAGAAATCATCCCGAGTTTTGTATGTTCACCAAGAAACAGCTTCCACTGCAAAGCGACCAAGACGTGATGTTGCTGTAAAACCACAAGAACGTGTGAGCTCAGCCTGTTTGTCTTCTGTACCTCTCACTTAACAAACGGGATTTTGCTTTGTTGGCGCTCCACATACAAAGTGTTCGCTGCAAACTCGGGATGATTTCTTACCTTTTTCGTTCTTCCTGTGCATCAATTCTGCCCATCGCCTTCGCCTTTCAAGATTTTTCAATTCCGTTGGGAAGGAAAACAGTTTGAACGTAGGTTTGCAGTTACACAGATCAGATTCCCTTTTGCAGTTATGGAGTTCGCAGACGTCCGAAGCCCTTTTCTTGAGACGTTTTCTGCTGTTAGGACATCCAACAACCACACGATTACAATGTCCGAATCCCATAACTAAAACATGACAATATCAGAACCAGAAACAAAAGCGATATGCTTCAAAAGGCTTGAAAAGATCAACTTTGTCAATAGACGCATCCCACTGGGGAAATCAAACATGGCGATTTGATGCTCACTTTTTCGGAGGATCCTTCCCAGTATGCATTGCGCGATGACTGGAAGTCCGAAATTTGGGAGGCATGTATAGTAGACAAAGTTTACATAAATATCTCTTTTTCTTTTGCAGAGCCAGTTCATCGAGCTTTGTAAAACTCTCTACAGCATGTTCAGTGAGGACGTGGCGGAGCAGGAGTTGTACCACGCCACCGCCACCGTCACCAGTTTACTGTTGGAGATGGGCGAAGTGGGCAAACTCTTCTCCTCCACCGTGAGAAAAGACAGCACCCAAGGGAGCAAACCGGAAACGAGCACTGTCCCGGACCCTGTTACTGGGAGTAGCGCCGTCCTCCTCCCGTCCTCCCTGGAGAACAAGCTGTGCGAGGAAGAGGAGAAAGCCGAGGACGGGGTCGAAATCCCGCAAATGCACGACGTCAAACTCGAGGACTCTTCGCCCAAAGGCACCTCCTCTGCGATGCTAATATCCGACGACGAAACTAAAGACGATACCTCCATGTCCTCCTACTCCGTGTTGAGCGCCGGGTCGCACGAAATGGACGACAAACTCCAGTGCGAGGACATAGCCGACGACACGGTGCTGGTGCGTAGCGACAGCGCCGGTTCCCATGGCAACAGGGGGCACATGGCGGCGCACCAGACGGGGTTACCTCACAGCACGAGCATAGACAAGGACTGGGCGATCACCTTCGAGCAGTTCCTGGCCTCAGTGCTGACGGAACAGGCTCTCGTGCAGTACTTCGAGAAGCCGGTGGAGGTGGCGGCGCGCATCACCAACGCCAAGAACGTGCAAAAAGTGGGACGGGCGAACTCGCTGTCCACAAGTGACTATGAGATTTCGTTATCAGGGTAAAAAGACGGAAGAGGGGTTTAAAGGTGGGCTGTGTAGCTTTTTGGTTGGGGGTCCGTCACCTGCTTCTTTCTCTGGATACATCATAGCTCTGCCTGGAATGTTCCACAGTATGACTTTAAAACAGCTCTACCTTATATTTATTCAATTACAGGTGTTTTTATAGCTGAAAAATACTGAAAAACAGGCATTCTGACTGTGAGCAGGGTTGCCTCTCCACAGATCTAACCTGTAACTTGGTCTGGTTTGGTCCAGAGTCCTGCACCGGGTCAAATAGTTGTTGAAACGGGCGGGTATGCAAGCGGGTAGTGACTACACACGGGCGGGTCAGGTGAATCAAATGAACGACGAACGGGAGAAAAAACAAGTTCCATTTCCTGGTCTTTTCCCAGAACGATGACAGACCAGGCTGAGAGACTTTAGTGCAGGGGTGTCAAACTCAAATTCACAGAGGCCAAAATTAAAAACTGGGACTAAGCCATGGACCAAATTAAATATTTAATGGAAAATTTTAACAACATCTGCATGTTTTCTCTTCTTTCGAGATATGTAATGTTAAACTTTTCCTTATTAAATTAAATGTTTAATAATAGTTTTGCTTGAATCCAAAACAAGCAAAATATAAAATAATAACAAAATTTTAAATAAAGAATGTCTCTATAGCCGATCTGTAGCCAGCAGGCCAGCTCTAATACATATTTGACATGATCTCGTGGGCCAAATATAATTATATCGCAGGCCGAATTTGGCCCCCGGGCCTGAGTTTGACATGTCTACTTTAGTCTATTTATTACATAAAACCATCAGCGGAGGCGATCGGCTCAGGGCTGCACTCCTGGTTTAGTTCTGGTTTAGACCTGGTTTAGAGTCCTGGTGTAGTCCTGGCGATCGGCTCAGCAGTTGCAGGTGTATATATTTATGCTAATGACACTTGTTTAGTCCTGGTTTAGTAGTGGGTTGGACCTGGTTCAGTCCTCCTTTAGACCTGGGTTAGACCTGGTTCAGTCCTGGTTCAGTCCCGGTGTAGCTCTGGTCCAATCTTGGTGTAGTCCTGGTGTTTGGCTCTGTGGTTTGCGGTGTGTATATATTATGTTCCGCTAATGACACGAAGGAGGTTCAGTCCTGGTTTAGTCCTGGACTTTTGGGCTGACCCCGATTTATCACGGGCGCTGGTTGGTAATAGGTGGAATGTTAACGTTTCCAGGCAGGTGCAGATTTAACTTTCACATAATCACGGGTTAGTGGGCAAGTGTGGATCTCAAAAAATGGACCCGTGCAGGACTCTGGTTTGGTCTCCGTGAAGACAGAAACGTTTAATACCAAACTATGAAACATTCCAGACTCCATGGAGAAAAACATTTAATGGACCCACCGGTAGAAAAGTTACACAATGTACCTTTACTAACGAATGACTGTTGTAAAAAAGGGATAATGATGTGAAATAAGTCGGTGATGTACAAAGTTTTAGAGTGATGTAAAGTATGGTTATATTCGTGACCAAAAAGTTCTTGGGAAATATTTTAACACATGTGAAAGAGTTTTACTCAGAGGCTCTTTGAAAGTTGTCCAGCTGAGAAGGAGCGAACATACAAACCCCCAACATCGTGTAATTCCTCATTCGTCCAGGAGGGGTCCGTATCGAGATCGTATCGTCACCTGGACCATGTTTTTGTAATTGAGAAGTTTCGAGTGACATCCATTTTTAATCTAAATGTAGTGGACTGAGATGCAAGACAATTCAGGCCATCCATGGGCTTTAGAATGATGAAAAATTATGACGATCTGTTGCCATACTATTTAAGACAAAATATTATATCTTTTGGACTTACTTATGAACCAGATATTATGTTCTCACTAAATGTGTGTACAATCCTTCATTCGTCCAGGTACAATCCATGGCAAAAGAAGAAATTCAATTGGTCAACTGGACAAAAGTTTAATTGGTCGAAACAAAAGTTTATTTGGTCGAAACAAAAGTTTATTTGGACCAAATAAACTTTTGTCCCGCTGACAAATTTAATTTCTTCTTTTGGCTGTTCTTAATAAAGATGGAATTAATGGAAAAAATCCTCAAAAATCCATTAATGACTACGCTATTGGTACAGGTGCAGTTCTTGCTTCTCATTCCAGTACCTTTCAAATTGAAAATGACAGCTGAAATGTCTGGCGAAACATCTAGATTTCAAAAATGTGGTCCTGATTTTGTCCATTACCTCTGAAATTCACTCCCAAGTAAAAAAAATAAATAAATAAAAAAGAAACACTAGTGTTATTATAATGCTTAATACAAGAATCGATTTACAGAAAGTTACCATATCAGTTAATGGAGATTTTAACACATGTTTAGTAACGGCAAACCAAAATAAACAACAAATTATTAATTTTTGGAAAAGTATTTAAAGGTGCAACATGTAAAATTTTCATTGGGCATCCATCACCTTCTTGTTTCTATGGATATGTCATTGCTCTCCCTTACATTTATTCAACTACAGGTGGTTTTATAACTCAAAAATACCTAGAAATACCTAAATCCCTAAAAGCATATATTCTGACTGTGAGTGGAGTTGCCTCTCCACAGATCTGACCTGTAAACTTGGTCTGGTTTGAAAGAAGATAGAAAGGTTTAATATCAGACTGGCGCCACCTAGTGTCTCCGCTCAATTTCATTTCTCTCCAGCGACTAGGTCAGGAATCGGGATACATTACACTGTTCGCAAAAACCCCGGAAGTGCGAGTTCGGGCACCAGCCAATCACCGAAGGGCCATACATTCTGTGTTGGCAACAATTCCCGAGATTTAGGATTTAAAGCCGGAACAAAGAGAATGTTTGGTGAATTTTATCAAGGGGAAAGACATTATTGCCCTTCCTCCTGCATTACATACGTCACGACCAAACAGCAGCGATTGGTTAAATGAAAAAAGTATCCACCTACCGTCAAACGAACAAATCCTAACGCTGTGAGGTCAGACGGTTTCCACCAAGTGAAACCAGCTGATGAATCAGGCTAAACACTGCAGACAAAGCAACGACATATCCATATAAAAAGGAATTTTAACGGAGCCTCCACCAGAAAAGTTACACAATGCACCTTTAACATCGCTAGATCTAAGATTTTACCACACAGTTTTGTAATTTTGAAAGGTTATCTACGTCTTTTTAAAATTTCCCCTTTTCAAACGTAGAAGTGGGTTTGTATTGTTTGCTCCAGTGATCAGAGTCCAAACGTCGTAGCTGTACATGAATTTACATTATGCATAGATGTTAAGATTGTAACTTCTAGTAATCTTAGGCTATGTAGGTGTAACTGTCCACAGACAAAGTACACACCCAAATGGGACTATAATACTCTATGTACTTAAGTGTCATTTAACATATTATCAAACGATCGCCTCTTTTCTTATGTTTCAACCTGCTGCTATTTTAAAGGTCCTACATTACACAAAATCGACTCTTGTGAGCTTTAAGACATGTTAGAATGTTGTTTCCTCATCAAAAACAGACCTAGAATTTGAGTAATTGTTTTTAGTCTGTCTACATCTCCGAAGCTCAAAATCAACTCAAAATCCAACTCGTGATGTCATGGAGTGGTAGTTTTCAAGTTAATAGCTCCCCTTAATTTTTGGTCCAGTAAAGATCGGCAATTCCAGGTCTGAAATCACCAAAATTATTCTAGTGAAGGAGTTTAAAAATACAATACGTCCTGTATTACCACATGAATAGGGATGTAACAATAACTGAAATATCGTGATATTGTATTGTCAAAAGTCTCACAGTAATATCGTGGGATGTCACAATATATCGAATCACAAGTTCCTCTGCTTTAATAATTTTATTTTATAGTAGCAACAGTTAATAAACATAAGGAACTACTAGAGGCGTAACGATATCCAAGTCTCACGATACGATATCGTCACGGTATGAACCTCACGGTACGATATTTATTGTGATATCGTGGGAAAGCTCACGATATAGTGGGGAGGCTCACGATTAGGGTTGTAACAATATCCAAATCTCTCGTACGATATTTTCAGGATATACATCTCACGGTTGATATTTATTGAGATTTTGTGGAGGCAAACAAAACTGTTAATGTGTTTTCCTCTTTAAATGCCTTGACAAGACTTAATCCAAAGAACTAAGACTTAAAAGTGCTTAGAACTGTTATTTCTTCTTGTAGTCTGCACTGAAATGGAGCAAAGGATCATGGTCTATGTAGTTCCCTCTTTCTTTTTTTTTTAGCTATTGCTGCACCACAATTCTTAATTTAAGCAAAGAGACTTCAACTTCTTAATTTGATATATTGTGATGGTCCACGATATTACTGTGAAAACTTTAATGATACGATATCATAATATTATTATTGTTACATCCCTAGGAACTACACATCCCATGATTCATTTCAGTGCAGACAAAATGAAAAAAATATGTTTCTTACTTGAATTCTTGGGATTATGACAGTAATACGGAGCACCAAAATCTTTTCAAGGTGTTTTAAAAGCAAATAAGTGTTCCATCTACAATCGTACTAGTCTCTAATAAAATATCCCAATAAATATCGTACCGTGAAATGCAAATTGTGATAATATCATACTGAGATATCGTTACATCCGTACACATGACATCACAAAAACGTTTCCGTTTCAGAGAACAACTCAGCGTAAATATGCAGGATTTGTTTGCTGAAACAAAACAAGTCATGATGATTTTGACGAGGAAACAACATCATAACATAGATCAGAAGACAGCGTAACACGGACCCTTTACATTACATTTTTTATTTTGTCGTCAGAATGAAATTAATGCTGTGAAATCATGCCTGGAGTTCACCGTCTCTGTCCACACTAATCACACATTATCAACGAAATATTTGCAATGTTTTTTTTTTTTGTTTTTTTTATAGGAGGATGATATGATGTGAGCCGTGACTAATATGAAACATTTCTGAAATTTAAATGTTTAGTGGTTGCTATAGGAACAGGATCTGCACTTTATGTTACACCGTGATGCCATCCAATTTTATGTTAAGTACTGTACATACTTCTGCATTGTCCTTGCGCTGGAGACGTCGTGCACATTCGAAATTATTAAAATGATTCTACACAGCAAAAACAGAAAAAGAGACTCATTTTCAAATTTTCAGTGTGTCATGTTTGTTTTTGTCGCTCAGTGTGTCCCCTCCCTTTGCTCCCCGCGTAAGTCACTCCCCCTTCAGAGCGCTATCTCCCCACAATCAGCGTCCCTCCCACTCGTGAAACTACCGCACATTGCATCAGGTTTGTAGAGTTGCTGTGTACAGTTTGGTGTTGTTTGTGTGTGTTTATGTCATGTGGGAGTCTTACAGCTAAGGAGAGAGATCGCTTAATTACTCAAACATGCATGGATGACGTTTAAAAGCTCTCCAGGCTTGTTTTTGGCGAAGAATCAACATTATAACTCAGTAGAAAGCTCAATAATAATGTGTGTTTGTTGTGGTTCAAAGGGCTGATCAAAAATGACAAAGTGTAAAATGAAACATTGCCATCTACTGCTCAATGCTGGTACAACACGAACACCTTCTAATTGACCCTTTTTCTTATCTTTAGAGGCATAATTAACAGAAGGAATGTAGTCAATAGTACAAATGAGGTAGTATAAAATAGGGGAGTGTCTGAGCCCGACCAATCTCAACTCAGCAGCTGACCATATGTTCATATCATACTCTCAGATATTAATGTTTACAAATCATTATGAGGAAAAAAAAAACATTAGAAGAAAGCAGATACCAAGTCATGCTCTAGATCAGAGGTGACCAAACTTTCTTTCATCAAAAAGAGAGAGATTTTATTAATCCCGAGGGAAATTCAAGTTTTGTTGCAGCATTTCCTCTGTGCTTCAGTCAAAAGTCTCAGTGCAGTTTCACAGAAGGGTCAGCAGATTTGTGTCTGGGCAGTTTGAGGAGAGGAAGAGCCAAAAGTGTCTTTCCTCTGTGTCCTGCAGCATCACAGCAGAGTCCAGGGGGCGCTAAGTGAACACAACAGGAAAGGCCTTATTCTGACTCCACTCTGTTCTTTTGTTTGGTGACAGTGATCCATTCCTTCAAAGCATTTCTTCTGGAAGATCTTCTGCCACATAAGGTGTAAAAAGCCTGTAGTATCTCAAATGTCCACAGAGAGCTCCTTAGCAAGTCTCTTGCACAGTCTCCACCGATACGGGAAAAACAAGCATCTCATTTCACAAAATCCAACAGTCTCTTATGTGTCCTTTGAGCTGTACTTCTTAGATGGTTAAAATCCCATGATATGATGTTAAAAACTGAGCTCGGAAAGTTTCAAAAACTGCTCAGTGTGTGAGGCAGGTGCCACAAAAGAAACCAGCCACTCCGCTGTTATTTGAATCAATGGCCACATTTCAAAACTCAAACAAAGCGAGAGAGAGTCTCTCCAGGGCCATAGGCTGGTGTTCAATACAGAGCACCACTGTAATATGTGCAGAGACAAAACAGAAACAAGAACAACAACACGATTGCCCAAAAAGGAGTGAAACTGTAGTACTACAGTAGTAAAGTATAATGCTGCATTCTATTGAATGTTGGTAGTCGATAAATCTGTCAGTCTTCCCGACATCCACTGTAAATGCATTCCACTGCAACAGTCAAGAAAATATGGATGCCCAAGAAGGTTTAATGTTTCTTTTGTTAGCTTATGTAGTTAACGTCAGGTATCACTAGCTCATTCTAATAAATAGAGTCTGATAGCTAACATCAGCTGTCGCGACTCAATTATGGCAGTTTGACAGTTACATGTCAAACCGACTCTGTCTGCTCTGAACTAGCCCCAGTTTGTGTTTTGTAACTCCGATCTGATTGGCCGTTTCATTGGACTTTCTCTAGGTCAGGGGTCTCCAACCTGTAGCTCTGGAGCTACCAGTAGCTCTCCAGCTGCTTCCCAGTAGCTCGTCAAGAGATTTATGAATTATATGTGTTATACTGAATAACTCAAAATGTATTTATTACATGACTATTACCACTGGTGCTTAACTCTGTGCACCAATAAATGGATAATGGTTTATGTTGTATACAAATCTAACTGTACCCATCTAAGGCTCTTTCTTATATCAATTTCTTGCGATGTCTAAAATTAGTAGCTCTCTGGCATTTTCATTTTGTAAAAGTAGCTCACCGAAGGAAAGAGGTTAGAGACTCCTGCTCTAGGTGGAGGTCGGTTTTCCCCAAGCCCTGAGCACAACAGAATGCAGTATAATTGTCCAATTCACCTGAAACCCTGAGGGCCCCAAAAAATGAGTCTGTGGGCCACATTTCCCCGGGCCTTAGGGAGAATATCGTAGATTTAAAAGTGTCTGTACTCTCTGCTCCACTACATTTATGAACAGGACTGAAAAGTAAAAATTATTATTATTGTCTGAGACCTGCTGAAAAGTTTGAAGCTTTATTTTTACTAGGGATGTCCCGATCACATTTTTTTACTCCCAAGTCCGAGTCTGAGTCATTTGATTTTGAGTATCTGCTGATACCGAGTCCCAATCCAATACTTCTATAAAACATTATGAAATGAAATAAGAGCAAAGAATAAGATCCAGGATGTATGGGGGATCAGATTGTATTGATTTCAATGTGTAGTATTTGGGCTGAACTTAGTGTGAAAAATCAAATGTCCAAAACTTTAATTTTTTTTATTAACTTTTCTAACCATTGTTGAAAATCTTTACTTTTCCCACAGTCTGGTCTTGGAATGTATAACTACTGGACAAAACAGGAACCAGACCAGAATCAAATCAGATCTGAGACTAGACGCTGCACAATCTACACTTTGTATATTTGATATTATATGGAAGCCTGTGCATTACATTTAAATCATTTAGGCTCGTCTGTGAAATCCAAATAATACAAAATCTTACCAAATAAAAACGAGATGACAGAAGCCCCACAGCCTCCCTAATTTTTTACACAACTGTAGTTTGAGCAAACAAAAACACACAAATAAAAACAGCTAGAGAAAAAACAATCGATTCTAATTGAATTCAAAAGTTAAATGTTAATCAGCGTCTCTACTTGTGAAGTTTTATTAGATCTCAAACTCTGCAAAATACTTTACTTTTTATTACTACATTAAGTAAAGTTTTAGACTGGTACTTATAATACTTTTACTTTAGTAGTAAGTTTAGTAGTAGTGTAGTATTTATTTATTTATTTTTTAACTTCGAAATGTCAAAATTGAGTACTTCTTCCACTACAGCAAACAATGAGTGAAACGTACTAGCCCCGATATCAGAGTATGGACTGCATTGACAGAGTAACATCCTGTGGGCCTATCAGAACCGGCCAAACTCAGGTCAAACACTCTGATCTTATCTCCTCAGTGACCTCCGGACAGGCTTCACGTCACTGCTCCGCTCCTTTTCACGCAGAACCTCAAAAGAACCAAGAGCCTGCGTCACCGGCCTCCCTCCTCTGTGTGTGTGCCCATGTGTGTGTGTGTGTGCCCATGTGTGTGTCCATGTGTCTCAGTCACAATGCTCAGGTAACTACAGCGACACAAACCCGAAGTGCTTACTCAGCTCCATATGTGAGTCCTTCCCTTACTGTAAAGCTGCTCTGTGATTGGTTAAAAAGCCAAGCCCCCATGAACTGATAAAGCGTTATTATGACTGTTGTTAGAAGGAGACAATTAGTGGAAAGTGGAAATTACAAGGTTTACTACAGTGTCGTTCACAGGTCAAAGTGAGTAAAGGCTTTTTTTTAAAACAGAAGGTCCAACGTAACTTTAAAGGAGTAATAATAACAGTACAGAGCAGCTTAGACTTAAACTTAGACTTAGACAAACCTTATTCATCCGCAAGGGAAATTATTTGGACACAGTAGATCACACATCACGATAAATATAAAAAAAAAAAGGAGCAAAAATAGTAAAATAAGTAACAAAAAAATAAAAAGCAAGAGACAGGTGTCAAATAAGACAAAATTATATAAATGTAAATAAGCAAGTCAAAATAAAATAGATAAGTAATAAAATGTTGCACAGTTGTTACATAAGGGTGAGTTGTTGTACAGTTGTAGGGAGTATTATCTGTTACATAAGGGCGAGTTGTTGTACAGTTGTAGGGAGTATTATCTGTTACATAAGGGTGAGTTGTTGTACAGTTGTAGGGAGTATTATCTGTTACATAAGGGCGAGTTGTTGTACAGTTGTAGGGAGTATTATCTGTTACATAAGGGTGAGTTGTTGTACAGTTGTAGGGAGTATTATCTGTTACATAAGGGTGAGTTGTTGTACAGTTGTAGGGAGTATTATCTGTTACATAAGGGTGAGTTGTTGTACAGTTGTAGGGAGTATTATCTGTTACATAAGGGTGAGTTGTTGTACAGTTGTAGGGAGTATTATCTGTCACATAAGGGTGAGTTGTTGTACAGTTGTAGGGAGTATTATCTGCTACATGAGGGTGAGTTGTACAGTTGTAGGGAGTATTATCTGCTACATGAGGGTGAGTTGTTGTACAGTTCTAGGGAGTATTATCTGTCACATGAGGGTGAGTTGTTGTACAGTCGTAGGGAGTATTATCTGTTACATAAGGGTGCAAACTTTCTGTATTACCACGTGACATCACAAGGTGGAACAGAGTGTTTTAAATTTGAGAAGAACTAAAGAACTCAGCGTAAATATTAAAACAGATCAGAAAATAGCATAATATGGACTCTTTAAGTTATTTTAGTCTTACATTTTTCTTTTTACTCACTAATTTTGACAGTTTTATTTCAGACCTGATGTCATTTTGCAGTAATAGTATAAAAGTACACCATCTTAAGTACTTTTTGTTACTAATTACACCAAGAAATCACCCTTGTATCTGTCGTAAAAGGGATCTTGGGACAGCTGGATATGAAATTTGTTGTTTTCAGAGCTGTGTGTGCTTTGTGTGGTAAATTGAACATTGACTTTCTGACAGTGAGTGGACTTTGATTTGACCCTCCGTACTGAAGCACACAGAAACGCCTCTCTGTGCCGGCCATAAAAAAGACTCCGGTAAATATATAAATACAGAACTCCACATCCCTGTCTCCTCTCTGGGCCCTGGATTATGATCTGAACCAACCGGACCAATAAAAAAGAGGAAAAAAACATTAAAGTAAGTAACACGCTTTCATTTAATCGGCAGATAAAAAGTAATTTACAAAAAAGATGTATATGAAATTTTGATGTTTTATGTTGCAGAGTGAGAAATATCCTTAAAAGTGCATTGCGTAACTTTTCGGGTGGAGGGTCCATCACCTCACCTGCTTGTTTCTATGGATATGGAATCATTGCTGTGCCTGAAATGTTCCGCAGTGTGACATTAAGCAGCTCTACGTTACATTTACTCAAAGTGCAAGTGGTTTTATAGCTCAAAAACACCTAGGAAAACAGACATCCTGACTGTGAGCGGGGCCGCCTCTCCGCAGATCTGACCTGTAACTTGGTCCGGTTTGGTCTCCGTGAAGACAGAAAGGTTTAAAGCCACACTGTGAAACATTCCAGACAAAGCAGTAACATCTCCATTTGAAAGAAAAGCATTTGAAGGAACCTCTAACACAAAAGCTACACAATGTACCTTTAATACATTAATATAAACACTTGCAGTTATGTTACATTATATTTTGATTTAATTTTAAACTATATAATGTCATTTAAATAAAATATTTCTAGCTGTGGTGAGAGTACAAGCTTTAATTGTTGACAGTAAAATGTAGTGATAATAGTTTTAGTATAATATTATTAGTAGGGGTTGGTGTTAGGGATGTAACAATAACCAAAATATCGTGATATTGTATCGTCAAAGTTCTTGCAATAATATCGTGGATCATCACAATATATCAAATTACAAGTCACTTTGCTTAAATCAAGAGTTATGGTGCAGGAATAGATAAAAAAAAAAGACAGAGGGAACTACATAGACCATGATCCTTTGCTCCATTTCAGTGTAGACTACAAGAAGAAATAACAGTTCTAAGCACTTTTAAGTTAAGGCATTTTAAGAGGATAAAGGAGTGTATTCACAATTTTGTCAGCCTCCACAAAATATCGCAATAAATATCGTACCGTGAGATGTATATCGTGAAAGTATCGTACAGAGAAATTTGGATATTGTTACATCCCTAATCGTGAGCTTTCCCACAATATCAAAATAAATATAGCACCGTGATACCCACCTTGCCGATATTGTATCATGAGACTTGGATATCATTACACTCCGACTTGGTATCATTAAGAAGTTGCCGATACGATACATATCTCAATACAGTGCACTTTCGATTCGATACGATATATTTCAAATCGATTCGATACGGTTCAGTAAAAAAATAAAGGTTAAATCGTGGCTGTGATCCTAAAAGTCCTCGTTAAACCACTTCTTGTGCAAAGTTCATATGAAACACGAAAATTTTTATCATCAAAACAGTGAAAATATCAGATTTGTCGCATAAACGAATTTCCTTCCACTAAACAAGCAACTAAACTGTAGTGCTATAACAAAATAACTGAGTAAAATATTCCAAAAATACTCTTGGCGGTATATTGATACTGTATCATCACATTAAGCAATATGATATAGCGATATCTCCATAGAGATGTCATTGCTTTGTCTGGAATATTTCACAGTATGGCATTAAACCTTTCAATCTTCATGGAGACCAAACCAGACCAAGTTAGAGGTCACATCTGTGAGGAGGCGACCCCAATTACAATCAGGATGCATGTTTTTCTGGTATTTTAGAGCTATAAAACCACCTGTAATTGAAAAAAACATAAAATAGAGCTGTTTAATGTCATACTGTGGGACATTTCAGTGGAAGCAATGACATCTCCATAGAAACAATCAGGTGATGGACCCCTAACCAAAAAGTTACACAGTGAACTTTTAAATATTATCGGCATATAGGGTGTTGTAATGTCATCTGAAACCCAACAAAACAACAATATAAGTACGATATGTGTGTGATAGTACTTGTGTGTGTGTTCCAGGAGCGATGGTCGGACTGAAGCCCTCAGACGTGCCCCCTCCTCTGGGCGTGAAGATGGCGAGTGCGGGGGCAGCGGCCTGTATCGCCGATTTAGTCACTTTTCCTCTGGACACAGCCAAAGTGCGGCTCCAGGTATCTGCCAAAAACATATTTACGCAACATTCAAAGTGTGTTCTCATCAGTGGTGGAAGGTAAGAAAGTAAAAGTAGTTAAGTACTGTTTCTAAGTATACATTTTAGGTATACATTTTACTTCAGTACATTTGAGAGCAGGTATTTGTACTTTCTACTCCACTACATTTTTGAACAGGACTCAAGAGTAACAGTATTTTTTTTTATTATTGTGTGAGACCTGCTTTTTATTTTTTAACACATTTGTAGTTTGAGCAGAAGAAAATATATAAATAAAAACAGCTAGAAAAAAACATCTAATTCTATTTATTCAGTTTTTAAGCACAAATCTTCAAACTCACTACATTTGAAGAATATGGTCAAATGCTTTTATTTTTTACTTTTTAAGTATATTTTTAAACAAGTACTTTTATACTTTTACTTAAGTAAATTTTTTCATGTGAATACTTTTACTTGAGTATAGTATATTTTTTGCTCTGGTATATGTACTTTTACTTTAAGTTACACAGTGCAACTTTTTTGATGGAGGGTCTACTACCTGCTTGTCTCCATGGTGATGTTATTGCTTAGCCTGGAATGTGTGACTTTTAACATATCCAACCATTCCATCCATTTACTTACACTCCGGGGCCGGGTCGCGGGGGCAGCAGTCTAAGCAGGGACTCCCAGACTTCATTCACCCCGGACACTTCCTCCAGCTCCTACAGGGGGACTCCGAGACGTTCCCAGGCCAGCCGAGAGACATAGTCCCTCCAGAGTGTCCTGGGTCTTCCCTGGGGCCTCCTCCCATTGTGATATGCCCGGAACACCTCCCGAGGAAATCACCCAGGAGGCATCCGGAACAAATGCCCGAGCCACCTCACCTGGCTCCTCTCCACGTGGAGGAGCAGTGGCTCTACTCCGAGCTCCTCCCGTGCGACTGACCTCCTCACCCTATCTCTAAGGGAGCGCCCAGCCACCCTGCGGAGGAAACTAATTTCAACCACTTGTATCCGCGATCCAAGTGGAGAAGTTTAAACATCTAGCATTTATTCATTACAGGTGTTTCTGTTGCTCAAAAATACAATAATTCCTTCTGTGAATGGGAGCGACACTCCACAGATCTGACCTGTAATGTAGTGTAGTGCTGTAACCTGCTTATTGCCCTTCTAATAGACAGCTTTAATGTATATCATAGAACAATCTAGACAAAACAATAACATTTTCATGGAGACAAGCAGGTGCTGGACCCTCCACTAGAAACGTTAGGTAACAAAAGGCAGTACTTCTTCCACTGCTTTTCCTCATACCTCATGCAGTAGTAGTAAATTGCAGTGTTTTTGTAGATCCAGGGAGAGAAGAGCGCCGTGCAGAACATCCGATACAGAGGCGTGTTTGGGACCATCGCCACCATGGTGCGCACGGAGGGACCACGCGCTCTCTATAACGGGCTGGTGGCAGGACTACAGAGACAGCTGTGTTTCGCCTCGGTCAGAATAGGCCTCTATGACAACGTGAAGGACTTCTACACAGGAGGAAAAGAAAGTAAGGACTGTTGGCGTTTATTATGTTCACTTTTTGTGCACATAAAGCAGATATCACAAAAAGAAAACAAACAATTAGCAATAATGTAATACCTTCTCCCATTGTCTCCAGAGAAAAGAAAAACAAATACTAAAATAAAAAAAATAATAATAGTAATAAAGAATAGGGCTGGGTATCATTCAAAAGTTGCCGATAAGATACATGCCTCCATACATAGGCCACGATACGATACATATCTCGATACCGTGCACTTTTGATTTGATACGATATATTTCAAATCGATTCTGCGACACTAAAAGTCTTTGTTAAACCACTTCTTGTGCAAAGTTCATATGAAACACAAACATTTTAATCACCAAAACAGTGAAAATGTCAAATGTGTCGCATAAATGAGTTTCCTTCACCTGAAAAAGCAACAAAACTGTAGCGCTGTAACAAAATAATGGAGTAAAATATACCAAATAATCCTCTTGGTGATATATTGATACAGTAATCCCCAATATCGATACATTAAACAATACGATATATCAATATTTCGATATTTTTGCACACCCATAATCAAGTCAGAAAAAAATTGCAATAATAATAAATTAATGCAGATGAAGAAATAAGTTAATCAAATAAATAAGTATAGGGAAAAGAGGGAAATAAAAATATGTATATTATGTATTATGTTCACTTCAAGGTCCTATATTATGCAAAATTGACTCTTGTGAGCTTTAAAACATTTTCTAATGCTGTTACCTCCTCAAAAACACACCCGGACTTGGACATTTTACCTTTTGTTTCACAGAGATTGGCAATTCCAGATCTGAAATTAATCCAAATGATTCTAGTGAAGCTGTATGGAGCTGAAAAACACAGTGAATCACTTCCTGTATTACCGCATGACATCACAAGGTTCATGTGTTTTTATTTGGTCAATGTTTAACTCATTACAGTCTAAACATACATTATATTCAATCTGATGTCATAAAATAAAATATATTCAGTGTGTAGAACAATAAAATCAAAAACTAAGTAAGTCTCTGACCAGGTGTAGGCAGAAACTAAAGCTCATTGTACCTAGTGTTTTCTGTTTGAGAGAAGAACTCAGCCTAAGTATTCAGGGTTTGTGTGTTAAACATGTGAATGAAACAAAACACTGTGTCTGTGGTGAGAAATATGGGCCCTTTAGTACAATCATTAACTCTAACTAACCATTCCGTGTTCAGATCCCGGGGTGCTGGTGCGGATCTTGGCCGGCTGTACCACAGGGGCCATGGCGGTGTCCTTCGCTCAGCCTACAGATGTGGTGAAGGTGCGATTCCAGGCTCAGGTGAATCTGGACGGCGTGGCTCGGAGGTACAGCGGCACCATGCAGGCGTACAGGCACATCTTCCAGAACGAGGGCCTGAGAGGGCTGTGGAAAGGTGCGGGAGCAGAGTGCATTCTGGGAAAAACAAGACTCAAGTTTAAATATGTGTGCATGTCATTTTAGGCACACTTCCCAACATCACTAGAAATGCACTGGTGAACTGCACAGAGCTGGTGACCTATGACCTGATCAAAGAGGCCATCCTCAGACATAAGCTCATGTCAGGTGTGTACACGTGTGTCTATAAGATTTGACCTTTCACCTCTTCCGCTGATAACGTCACAATGGCCATTCAAGTCTTTCCTGGAGAGCTGTAAAAACAACATTCACTCAGTGTTTATCTCTGGTTCATATCGCCTCTCTGTATCTGCAGATAATCTGCCGTGCCACTTCGTCTCAGCTTTCGGGGCAGGGTTTGTTACCACGGTGATCGCTTCCCCAGTGGACGTTGTCAAAACCAGATACATGAACTCTCCTCCTGGGCAGTACAAAAGTGCCATTAACTGTGCCTGGGTGATGATGACCAAAGAGGGACCCACAGCGTTCTACAAAGGGTAAACACGCACAGGTGTATTTATAGATACAGATATTTCTAACCTTTTTCTCTTTTCCAGGTTTGTGCCATCGTTTCTCAGGCTGGGCTCCTGGAACATTGTGATGTTTGTGTCGTTTGAACAAATCAAGAGACTTATGATGGTCACCAAGAAAAAGATGGAGACCACCGCCTAAAGTCTGTTCTATAAAGTGACTGAAAACCTCTGAGGTTTGCATGCCTCATCCTCAAAGCCTTATATCAGCAGTATTCCTGTCCTGTGACAGCACAAGTCCTTTGTTTAAAAAGGGAATCTAAGACAGACCTCGTACTATTATGTAACTTAGAGTTCACATATGCAATCTTTATATTTATCCATTTACATGAGCACATATGGGCATTTGGGCTGCAGTTTTAGGCAGCCAAAAACAATGCACCAAATCCACATGAACAAACGTCTGTGTTAGACATATTAAATATGTTTTATAAACTTTGTGTTTACTTATAATGTTGAGCAATCACCTCCACACTACTGAACACCCCATAAAACAGATTTACAGCCAGTGACGTGTTACTCATTAGAGCGTATTCTGCTTAAAGAACAGGAAATACAATTCACTTACAGTATTACAAGTACAAATTTATTACACCAACATGACGTTACAATATTTGGTCACACATTGTGTTAATGGTTTCAGATATTTTGCAAATGGCAAAATCATGCAAACGTCCTTCATGGTGAAACACAAAAACAGTATAAATAGTTAAATGTGGTGTTTTTCTGCAAATGTCCACAAACCAGTGAAGTTCAGCTGCTGACAGGAAGAACAGGAACCACAGACTCAGGAACCACTTTACATGGAAGATTTTTATTTGGACAGACCCATGGATTTTAGCAGCAGCCGTCTCGTTTCAGGGTCAAAAGTCAAAGGTTAAAGGTCAGACAGTTAGTTTAGTTCTCTGCTCTTAACGTGAGGCACACAGCAGGGTCCTTCAGGCGGAGCTGGACTTTATTGTGGAACTTTTCTCTGTACTCATTGAACATCATGATGCTCTCTGGTTCCTCTGAAAGCCAGAACTTGTCAAACTCATAGGCCAAGTAACCTACAACAAGAATAAAGACAGTTATATTTATATATTTATATTACAGCAAAAGTATCTGTGGTGATTATGTGATGACATATTACACTGTTTTCTGATCCATGTTATGTTTCCTCATCACAAACATCACTGAAGTTGTGTTTTGTTTCATTCACACATGTTTAAAACACAAACCGTACATATTTAGCTTCAGTTTATCTCTCAAACACTTGTGATGTCAGAAAGTGCTCCACTGTGTTTTTAAACTTCATACACCTTCACTAGAATAATTTGGATGATTTCAGCCCTGGAATTGCTCATTTCTATCAAACTAAAAGGTAAGCGTGTTGACTGCTAACTAGTGTTATAGTCAAGCCCGCACTAATCGGGACCAAGACCTGTCCGAGACCACAGGGTCCCAAGACCTAGACAAGACCAAGACTTCTGAGGGTCGGGACCAAGACGAGACCAAGACCTCTGAGGGTCGAGACCAAGACGAGACCACGACCTCTGAGGGTCTTGACCAAGACGAGACCACGACCTCTGAGGGTCTTGACCAAGACGAGACCACGGCCTCTGAGGGTCGAGACCCAGACCAGACCAAGACCAGACCAAGACTTCTGAGAGTCGAGACCAAGACAAAACCAAGACTTCTAAGAGTCGAGACCAAGACAAAACCAAGACTTCTGAGGGTCGAGACCAAGACTTTTAAAGGCCGAGACGAGACCGAGACGAGATCCAGATGAAACCAAGACTTTTAAAGGCCGAGAACAAGACAAGCCCAAGACCACAGTCCATCGAGACCAAATCGAGACCATCTCTGTCATTTTTTTATATTTAATTGTATTTTACAGTTATTCTGGCACATATATATCAATGTTTTTATAAATCTATCTCCATTTTATACCTCATCAAGTGTCAGATCTCGAGACCGAGACAAGACCCAGTCCTTGCGCCTTCAAGACTGAGACAAGACAGAGTCCAAATGCGGTTGAATCTGAGATGCGACAGAGACGGCAAAAAAAACGATCTTGAGGTCGGTCTCAAGTACTACGACACTGCTGCTAACTTGAAAACTGCCGCTTCATGACATCACAAGAGTATTTTGAGCTTTGGAGAGAGATTGTTAATAAAGTGTTACTCAAACATGTGTGAATGAAACAAAACACAACTCCGAATATGTTTTTGAGGAGGTAACAACATTATAACTTGCCTTAAAGCTCACAGGAGTCAGTTTTACATGAGATAGACCCTTTATAATATCAGACCGGATGAATACGTACAGTAAAGCTGGTGGAAATGCTGTAGCTCTGGTGAACCCAGGACTGCGTTATAAAAATGAGGCTTCAGCGCTCCACTCTTCAGAAGACTATAAGCCATCTCTGTTAGGTTGATTCCCACAATGGCATACGAGTACCTGTAGTATAGAAAGAGAGAGAAAGTGTGTCATTGCAAGTTAGTTTTCACATACGCGTTAGTGGTGGTTGTACAGTTTTTTTTTGCATCTTACCCAAGTTTAGGATGGTTCGCATGTGACAAAACCTGACGAGCTTCTTCTGTGTAGTGTTCACTGAAAAATCTGAGAAATATACATCAGAGTAGTGTTGTGAAAAGTATAAAAAATAAGATACGAGTCGCTACTAAAACTAGTATGAAAACTAGATACTCATTGAGCAGGTAGCGATACTAAAAATGTCATTCAGACAACAAAAATTAGCCTTTACTAAATAGATTTAGAATGATCTTGAGCCGTATCAGAAGAAGTATAAGAGCACAGAGACTAGTACACGGCCATGGATCGCTGTGGAACCTACCTGGACCACTGAAGGATTACACAAATATAAGACCACAAGGAAATAGAAAAGAAGCTACTGTTTTTACAATCATTGTGGTATCAGAATCAGTATTGAGGACATTCCTTAGTATCAAAATCATTAGTCATGTTAGTATCGTGACAACACAGACAATCAGACTGTGCCAAAAACTATAAATTAACAGCAAGTAAAAACAAAAATACAAGTTAGAACTAAGGGATGTAACAATAACCAAAATATTGTGATATCGTATTGTTAAAAAGTCTCACAATAACACCGTGGGCTGTCACGATATATCAAAATTCAAAGTTCCTTTGCTTGAATGCATGGTTTTATAGTAGCAATAGCTTATGAACATCAGAAACTACATATCCCATGATTCATTTCAGTGCAGATAACATGAAGAAATATGTTTTTTGACTTGAATTCTTGGGAAATAATTCACACCAAAATCTTGTCAAGGTATTTTATAAGCAAAAAAAACTGTCCTATCTACAATTATATCAGCCTCTGCAAAGTATCGCAATAAATATTGTACCGTGAGACGCATATCGTGATAATATCGTACCGAGAGATTTGGATATCGTTACATCCCTATTAGAGCTATGTTAGGTCGACTGTTAACTTCATAATTTATTGGCACTGCAACAGTATATTCTCACTTCATACTTTTGTTAGCTGAAAACAACGAATATGTTTTAGAAGATTCACTTTAATTTTAGTTTTTTGTCTCTCCTCCCTGCGCTAAGTCACTCCCCCTTCAGAGTGCCATCACATTGCAGTAAGTGTGTATCCCACTTCCACACATCGCATCAGGTTTGTCATGTTTGTGTGTACTGTTTTGTATCACGTTTTTGTATATTTATGGAGAATTGTTGTATAGGGGGCATGGGCGATGAAGGCTTGTGGGCGGAGCTTCGTACAGACTCTTACAGTTAAACGTAAAGAGGGTTCGAATAGGGCCCAGGAGAGATCGCTAAATCACTCAAACATGCATGGGTGATGTATACAACCTCGTCAGGCATGTTTTTGATGAGGGAACAACAATACAACATGGTAGAAAGCTAAAAACAAAAAACAAACTTCTACAGCAGCATATCACTCACACCAGGTTGATGAGTCCGAGCAGACCCATTCCTCTGAAGTCGGTCTTGGGGTCGTCTCCCTGGAAACCAATGTCTCCCCACTGTTTTGTGATCCGCGACTCCAGTTTGACCGAAGGCATCAGCAGGTCCCACAGCTAAAAAAAACAAACAAAAACACTCATGATTATTTATACTACTAGTATAATACTAGGTATTTGGTAGGTCTGTGATAATGATAATTACTGTACTGACAACCGTTCATTACACAACAGATGGAACAATAATTTTGGGGAGTCAACATTTATCATGAGGACTTTTTCTTTGCACAAACAGGATTTTTTTTTTTTTTTTTCCGTTTGCAAAATGATGATGATTTGAGCTGTACAGAGTTGCATTATGGGGATATAACGATATCCACATCTCACGATATGTATCTCACGGTACAGTATTTATTGCGATATTTTGTGGACGCTAACAAAAGTGTGAATATCCAACTTTTTCCTCTTAAAAGACCTTGGCAAGACTTAGTCCAAAGAACTAAGATTTAAAAGTGCTTAGAACTACTATTTCTTCATGTAGTTTGCACAAAAACGGAGCAAAGGATCATGGTCGATGTAGTCCCCTCTGTTTTTTTAGCAATTGCTGCACCATAACTATGAATTTCAGCAAAGAAACTTGTGATTCGATATATTGTGACGGCCCATGATATTATTGAGAGAATTTTGACAATACGATGTCATGATATTTTAGTTACTGTTACACCCCTACTGCATTATGAACTTCTAGTTAATTACTGAAACATACACAAAATTGACTCTTGTGAGCTTTAAATCATGTTATAATGTTGTTACCCCTTCAAAAACAAACCTGGAGTTACGTTTTGTTTCATTCACACGTCTGTCTACATCTCCAAAGCTCAAAATGCTGTTTCACCTTGTCATGTCATAAGCAGTTTTCAAGTTAATAGCCAGCTTTTATAGTTAAAGATGCATTACTGAGTTTAAAAACACAGTGGAGCAGTTCCTGGATTACCACATAACATCACAAGATGAGAGAAGAACTCTGTATCTGCGTGTTAAACGTGTGTGAATGAAATAAAACACAACACCAGGTCTGTTTGTGATCAGGAAACAACATTATAACATAGATCAAAAAACCCATTTATTTCTTGCAACTCATATTTTTTAACAATATCATACATTTAACCTTTTTGAGACGATAATTCTGCTTTATGGTTTGGTTTCAATAATACTGTTTATCATTTATATTTACTTATTTACTACAATATACTGTATCGCAATTCAATATGTTTTATAGTGACAGACCTAGGATTTAGTCATTAAATAAAAACAAACCACAGACCTTAAGCAGCATGGACTCGTGATCCGGGTTATCAGAGCTGAAAACCTCCTTCCTCAACTCTTCCACGCCTACGTACAGTTGGCTGTATCCTGTTATCTGCAACAAACAACTGTGGAGGCTTTCCTTGAACCTAAAAAACAAAATTAATTTACACTGCATTTTTTATTCACATATTAGAATCATTTTATTACTAAATCAAGTAGCTACTAAACTTACAAGGGATCCTTCTGTGGTTTGATGTTCTTTTCTTGCATTATTTGATCCACACATTGGGTCAAGTCATCTCTGGAGGCTGTCAAAGCATTTCTTAGGACCTGAATTGTCAAATACTCATATATTAGGATTTTTCTTTCTCAAAAACAATTACTATGACTGTATGAGTAATCGATCTTACCTTGTTCTTTGAGGACTGTAGGGAATACTCTGTAACAATGAACAACAGCACGTTAACTCAGCTGGGTCAAAACAGGGCTGCACAATCATACTTAAAACATAACGATAACACAAAGGTTCTCCATCTGACAAAAATGCAATGTTTTTAAAAAGAAGAAAAATATATAAATAAATAAATAAATACAGATTATTTTGTCAATGATTAAGCCATTAAGTCCGACATTAGGCTTGATTTTTTTTTAGTCCTGGTTTTGTTTTTGTTAAGTTCTGATCTTGAGAGAGTTTCAGTAATAAATGAAAGCATGTGTTTTTTGCTTTATTATAACTGAAATAACCGAGTAAAAAAAAAAAAAAAATGATACTGCATAATATTGTTAAAAATAAAAATAAATTAAATAATAAAAAAAAAAATAATAAAAAAAAAAAAAAATAATAATAACAAAAAAAAATAAAATTATAAAATAAATAAAAAATAAAATGTAAAAACAAAACTAATTATATAAATAAAAAATAACAATAAAATAAAATAAAAATAAAAACAATTTCTTAAATAAAAAATATTTAAAATAAAAAAAATAAAATAAAATGTAAATAAATAATAATAAAGTAAAATAAAATAAAAACAAACAGCAGTTCTTGAAAATAAAATGTTAAAATAAAACAAAATTAAAAACAAAACTAAACTAAACTAAAACAGCAGTTCTTGACAGCACCAGTTCAAAATTCACATGTTTGTTTCGTTGTCATACATCACCTGCTTTTGTTGTTCTCGTTGCCCCTGCTTCGTACCCGGAGCATATTCTCTGGAGTTCACATTTTCCAGTCGCGTGTCTAAGGAGCCACTTCAGCCAGTATCTAAAAAAGGACGTGTAGAAATACTGCAGGATACAGGCCAACATTTTCTGCAACATAAAACACAAAGAGCACACAGTTTTAACTTCATACCTACAACTGTATAACAACTCACCGTTATGTAACAGATAATACTCCCTACAACAGTACAACAACTCACCGCTATGTAACAGTTAATCCCGTTGGTGGGTATCAAATTGGTAAAAAATAGACCCTTATGTCATCAGAATGTTCCAAATTCTGGAGTGGAGGCAAAATTAAACTAACATAATATATTTACAATGTTTAACTGACTAACAGACCCAAATGCTAAAGGCTTTATGACATTATAACAAAAAAGCAACAATTTTGAATTTCCAAGCTTCCAAATCTTGTTTACTTTGCTTCTCCGTAAAGAAGAATGGAAAAAAATACAGTTTTCACACTCCAAAATAGTATTTGGGCTTCACAAAAAGTATAATTTATGATGAAATGTATAATATATCTGTAGATGAAGTGAAAAACTGTTGTGAGTTCAACATTTCTGTAAGGATTTGTCCAGAAAAACATCAAAACGTGGATTCTGCGTTTGTAAATTTAGGGGTGTAACAATATCCAAGTCTCACGATACGACACTGTCAAGGTATAAAGCTCACAGTACGATATTGCTATATCATGGGAAAGCTCACGATATAGTTTGGAGGCTCATATTACTACAATATTATACATAACATCAAGACTGACATTACAAAATACTGTGACCAGTCATTTGGTACAACATTTATTGTCATATTCTAGGGATGTAACGAGATCCAAATCTCACAGTACGATATTATCCCGATATGCATCTCACGATATGATATTTATTGCGATATTTTGAAGAGGCAATTAATTAAAGATGGGACTCTTTTTGCTTCTAAAATACCTTGACAAGATTTTTGTGTGAATTATTTCTGTCATAATCCCATGAATTCAAGTTAAAAAAAAACATATAACTTCATGTTGTCTGCATGGGATATGTAGTTCTCGATATCATTTTGAGACTTTTGATGATACAGAATCACGATATTTTGGTTATTGTTACATCCCTAGTAAAAATGCTTAGTGTTTATCGTAAACTCTTATTAAATAAACAAATAATGTAAAACACAATTGTAAGTGTTTTTAAACTGCACTCTGATATCATTCACATGTGTCTGAGTGGTTTTCATTTTCCAAAGTATTCTTGATTTAAAAATACTGGACAAGAAACCACTCTCATTTCACCACTGCACTATTTTAGTTAAGTACAATTTGCTTAATTTTAATAATTTAGTTGATTTTAAATATGGATGTTTTATCTATAAAGTTTTGTATGGACTTGTCCCCACGCTGTTACAGGATTTTATTAAAGTAAAAACTGTCAGACGGATGGGAACTAGGGTCACAGCCCGTGGGAACTGTGAGCTCCACATTCAGACAAAGAGTGTCTCAGTCAGTGGCACAAAATTTGGGAACAGTCTCTCATTATCAATAAGAGAAACTCCAACGCTGGCCACTTTCAAATCCCACTTGAAACAGCGGCTAAAGGAAAACAGACTTGTGGACACTTTTAATTTAGATCTGTCACTTGTTATTGTTTTTTCTGTAAAATTTGTGGTGTTACCTGCAGAGGGACGACAGATGGAAATGATCATTCTTGGTATAATCTGACATATTTACCCTGCAGTGTTGTAGATGTTCATTAATATGCACTGTCCCTATTAAATAAATAAATAAGTAAATAAATAATGTTTAATATTCTGCGATATTCTCAAGTTAATCCCAGTTTTCCCATTGAAATCACATTATGTTTCACTTCACTTTTGCCTCCAGCTGCCTCCATTCAGGAGCTTATGTTTTTGTTTACAATTTTTGGGACCTGGGACATTTTTTGTATAAAACTGGGACAAATCACTGGTTTTGGATAAATCTGCTGGGACAGGGGACACAGGACTCAAAACTAGGACTGTCCCCATTAGTTTCATGTTAGCATAGTGGCTCTAGCTAACATAATACAAACCCTCACGCTGACAAACAAAGAGAATACGCATTATAAACAAGAAAACTAGTTAGATTAATGTTAATAGCTGAGTTAAGGTTAGTCCTCAACTTTATAATAACATCGAGTAAAACAAAAGTCATTGACAAAGGGACAACAGGTTGAGTTTGTGTTTGCAGGAGTCGCCTGGTTAGCGGTGTGTAGGAGGTAAACTTGAGCTAATTTACGATAACAATGTGAGTCAAAGGATACAGAAAATTGTGTTCTCACCGTTTGGCCGAAAATATGCAAATAAAATAAGAGTTAGATGGAGTTTTGGCGTCACTTGTCCTCGGTGTGGTCACGCTAGCATCTCTAGAAGCGACGACAACAGTCTGCGGCGCGTTCACGGGCCGGCGGAAACACGGACACTCCACAGCGGAATCAGCGAAATATGACCACAGAACTAATAAAATAAATAAATAAATAAATAAATAAAAGTTTTAATTATAGTTCTCTTTTTTGCTCTTTTTTTTTTTTTTTTTTTTTTTTTTACAAAATGCATATTTACTGCGAATTAAACCAATGTTCTATTTTGCATTTTGTACGATACTCGATTGGTTGTTTGTAATTTGCGTTTCCAACTATAAAAAAACGAAATAAATAACAAATAATAATATTATCTTTTTCAGTAGGCTGTATTTAGGAAAGAACGCGTTTAGAAATGTTCGTGAGTGTAAATGATATTTTTTAATTTTTTTTTTTTTTTTGTTTCTCTGCAAACATTATCTTAGCGGAACAAGAATAGCGGAATTATCGAAATATGCCCCGCTTTAAATTCTCTTTTTTGCTGTTTTTTTGTTTTTTTTGTTTTTTTTTGTTTGTTTGTTTTTGTTTTTTGTTTGTTTGTTTGTTTGTTTGTAATTCGCGTAAAAAAATACAAATAAAAATAAATAAAAATAAAATAAAAAATAAAATTGTGAAACGATTGCGTAATTAAGGAAAATTCTTATGCACTCGGCCCATTCATGACTAACATGTGAATCAGAATACTCACGTTTTCTTTGTGTTTTGGTCATTTTTAAGTATCCTTTTCTGTATTTTACTTAAATAAACGACAATATGTGCCTCTTTTTACCGTTGACAGTTATAAATTGATCAAAAATCGGGACACCTGGGACATTTCTTGTATAAAACTGGGACAAATTAATAGTTTTGGATAAATCTGCTGGGACAGGGGACACAGGGCTCAAAACTGGAACTGTCCCGGTAAATAGTGTCTGGTCACCCTAAATGTGCATTTTCTACAATTAAAAAAAATAAATAAATAAAAAATAAACGAAATAAGCTAAATAAATAGCAAATAATGAATAAGAAGCATTAATATGGGTTATATTTATGAGTAAATATGATTAAAAATGTTTCTGAGAGTAAATTATTAATATTTTTATTTTTATTTCTCTGTAAACATTAACGAAAACTCACGAACGTTGCAAAACCAATGAAGACAACGTTAGGGCGCCATCTTCAGGTTTTTGTTTGCATCGCAGTTGCTCCGTCGACATATGGCAGGTTAAGTCGATCCATGAGTTGCTCTCTTGCAGTTCAGCCACAAGATGGCGTCAAAACCAATACAGGCATTTGAGATGTTATTTCCCAAAGCTATCTGCACCATCTTTGATATTAGTTTGACTATTTTTAGCCCATGTTAGCATTCAGGGTACTTTTTCCACTGCTAAGAGACATGGCACCTTGAGAGACTCTAGATTCGATCGGCTTTCTCAAAACGAGGCCTAACCACACTTTAATAGAGCTACAATTACAATCATTCATTCTGTGCATTTGTAGGCTACAAAGGTTTAAGGCTTAAAAAGAGTATTGATCAATATCTGCTTTTTTGTGCTTCCTACCGTGTTATAATGTTGCCCCCTTATCAAAAACACGCCTGAAGAGATTGTATATGTCATTTAGTGATCTCTCCCTGGCCCTATTCCACCCACAAGCCAAAGTCATCCATGCTCCCACACAATAATTCTTCATAAAAATACAAAAACATGATACAAAACAATACACTAGTGCACCTCTATAAACCTGATGCGATGTGCAATAGATTCATTAGTGCAGGGGTGTCAAACATAAGGCCCGGGGTCCAGATCCAGCCCTCCAAGACTTTTAATCTGGCCCTCGGCTGATTTTCTAGTAAAATATTTTAATTATATTTCCTTTTAAAATATTGGTAATTTTCTGTGCTGCTTAGCCTCGCCTCTGTGCGTGGCCCCTCCCACCAGAGCAGCACAAATGCAGACTTGCCTCTTTCCAAATGCTCTTAAAGGACAATCGTTTTGACTGTTGAACGTGACACCCTCATCAACAAAATGTCAATAATGAGATAAGTGAACGCTGAGTGCAGGATTGTCCAAGAAAAATTGACTTATTCCTATTTGCATACAAATTAATGTTATAACATTGTGTTGAAATAGCATTTTTCTTAAAGTTTCAGGTTGTTCATAATATTATAATATTATAATATTTTGTAAAAGAAAGAGTTCATCAATTAAAAAAGATTTCTATAACATCTCTGCACAAATAACTTATTGCTATTTTTGAGGTATATATGCCACGAGTTTTTTGATCCGGCCCCTTTGGGATCGAAGTAGGTTGGATACGGCCCCTGGACCAAAATGAGTTTGACACCCCTGTTTTAGTGGGAGGGACTCTGATTGTGTTGTGAAAGTGCTCTGATGGTGGGTGACTTAGCGTGGAGAGCAAAAAAAGGGGAGACTTGGAGCATCAAAACTTAAAGTGAAACTTATTAAACATGTTGCTAGGTTGTTGTCAGTGAATATAGGATCACAACGGCCGGAAGTGCCGCGATGTCGGGTAAACGTCACTTATGTTAATGCTTTTCTATGGCAAAATATCTGTGGAAATGTCTCGGGTATTTTCCAACAGCTTCATAAATCTGCCCCATCACCAAATCTTCGTCCAACAAGGTCAACAAAGGATAAATATTCAAAGACGAGCATTAGTGAACGACTCCAGAGCAAAATTAACCTTATGGTCATGAATAAAACATAAGTAATAAGTCATTCGTTAATAAGTAACTTGTTAACTTAGACTGATTCTACAATTAAAATAAAAAATCTATTTAATGATGTAGATATTGGCATAGACAGAGATTTGTGCAGTTTAAATGCTACAGATGTTCACAGATACATGTCGAGCATTTAAACTGCACAAATCTCTCTGTCTATGCCAATATCTACATCATTAAATACATTTTTTTATTTTAATTGTAGAATCAGTCTAAGTTAACAAGTTACTTATTAATGAATTACTTATTACTTATGTTTTATTCATGACCATAATGTTAGTTTTTCTCAGGAGTAGTTCACTAATGCATCGTCGTTGTTCGCCTTTACGTTTTCGTCTTTCTTACCTCGATAGTTGTGGATAAATTCTTCATGTTCATCCTTTGTCGACCTTGTTGGTTGAAGATTTGGTGATGGGGCAGATTTATGAAGTTGGTGGAAAATATGCGAGACATTTCCACAGATATTTTGACATAGACGTTTACCCTACATTGCTGCACTTCCGGCTGTTGTGAAAAAGGTCTATTATAGCTAATTTGATTCAGGTTATGTCCAGCTAACAACCAATCAGCATTAACCTATTAATCTATATCCATTTATTATTACTACTCTTTTATTTTTTAGTCTTTGTTATTATATTATATTGTGATGTGTGAGCGACTGTGTCCAAATAATTAAATTTTGCCGAAGTCGAAGTCTAATATGACCATGGCTAGAAAAGTGAGATGTTTTGGAGCTGCTTTGACCCATTTGTGAAACCATGGGCTTATGTCAAAGTTACTAAATTCGCAATATTTCCTTCCTTTTTTGTTTTCCTCTTTAACAAACAACACCCAATCCAAGACAGACCTGTCAAGCATTTCTGTGATTAAAGCGCCCATTTTACACTGTTTTCTGATCTGTTTTAATGTTGTTTCCTCATCACAAACAAACCCGGAGTTGTGTTTTGTTTTAATCACTCATGTTTAACACACAAACCCTGCACCTTGTGATGTCAAGTGTTAATACAGAAAGTGCTCCACTGTGTTTTTAAACTCCGTACACCTTCACTAGAAGTAATTTCAAGTGTAAGTGAGTAATTTCAGTCCTGGAATTGCCGATCTCGCTTCCACTTCCGCTTCATTTTGAGCTTTGAAGACGTAGACAGACTAATAAAGTAACTTAAACATGTGTGAATGTTTTGAACATTATAACCAGCAGTGTTGCCGTAGTTACTTTGAAATAGTAATCTGACTACTGACTACTGATTACTTCTTTAAAAAGTAACTTAGTTAAGTTACTGACTACTTTCTTTTAAAAGTAACTAAGTTAGATTACAAGTTACTTTATTAGTTACTTCTACAGTGGCAGATCCCCCAACCCCATCCTTAGCTGAAATAAAATCAAAACAATGTTTGTATTTCCAGCTGCAAAAGTCGTACCTCTCTCCCTCCATTGTTTACATCTGACTCGTGACGGAGCAGAGACGACGTAACATCACAGAAAACGTGTCACCAGAGACGATTTATATGATCTTTGGGGTCACATGACCCACGTTGCAAAAAATAAAAAATAAATAAATAACCTACATCACCCTGAAACGCCAAAATAGTAACGCACAGTGTATTAGATAAGTAACTTAAATCTGACTACTGGTTTGGAAATAACACTGCATTAGACACTCATTACTGAAAAAAGTAGTTGGACTACAGTAACGTGTCACTAAGTAGCACATTTGTGGCATCACTGATAACCAGTGATGGGAAAAATACTTTAAAAATTTATTTATAAAGTTATAGAATACCGAATACTTGCATTAAAGTGTATTTTGTAACATATTCTGATTCTGGTACATGGTCCAATCAGAGTACTGTGTTCGAAATACTTGGAATACTTTCACGAGAACGCTTGTGGGTAAAAAGGACAAAATATTTTATCAGAAGTGCCTTTCATTTAGATGGTGATGGCGTTTTGGGGGCTTGAAAATGTAAAAATCAGAACCCACCCTCCAGAGCGGAAAAGCTGAATACGTTCCGCCGTAGTGTTTCCGTCTACACTGCCCAAGACGCAAAACTCTGGTCAGATCTGCTTAAGTCACGTACGTGTTTACGTCACATACATACAGTACACAGAAACCTGGCCCGCATACCCAATCGAATTCCACACACTTTTGTGTCACTGTATGCACGCAGATTTACTCCAGAAAATGCTCATCTAAATGCGGAATAAAAATGAAGACACGACGCAACTTTTGCGTCTTTTGTTCAGACCGTCATCATATAAACGTAGCCAGAGTTGCATTTAAATTAACAAGCAACTAGGGATCTCACGAGAGAAAATTGCCACAAGAAAGAGAGAAAAATAAGCTTGTGTGATTT